GCCAACTAGTAAGGTTTGTCACATAAACAGAACATGCCAGGTGCAGCACGCCGGTGTGTTGGAGAGCCAAGCCGCCACATTTACAATCTTGAGCACGACGTTTCGCCAGTAATTACAACCGGCATCATCAGGCGGACAGCCAGATTAGTTTTAAATGCCGACGTCTTGAATAAAATAACAACAGTCCATCTCAATGGCCTAAGACAGGGGGCCAAAGGGGCCGTCCATAAATGACGTCACGCGATTTTGGACGATTTTTGACCCCCCCCCCCTCGTCACACGACGTCACAAAAAGTCAGACCCCCCCCCCTCAAATATTACGTCACAAAGCTCTGCCCCTCCCCAAAAAAATATATATAAAGCATGCTTCAAATCGCTTTAAACTATTGTCATTGTAGTGCGTATTTAATGTGCCGCTGCACTCTGATGTTGTAGGAGAAAACATTTATTAAAAAGTCTATTAAATTAAGTAGAACGTGTTGTCTATATTTATTTAAAGTTGCGCATTTTGATGTGACGTCACATTTCTAACCTCCCCCTCCCCTCTAGGTGCGTGACGTCATTTATGGACGGCCCCAAACCCACTCGCTGCACTGCCACGAATCGGCATCGATATCCTCTCCGTTATTTGACAAAGCAGCGGTAATGAGTGAAACACACGTGGTAGGAATTTGGCGACTTTGCGCGTGGAATAATCCTCGCTTCCTTTTTTGCACGGATGGCTGTCGCCCTCTGGTGGCACGACGGAGACACTGACGCCCCTGGCAGAAAGGCCGCTTGTGTTGTGGCCGAAACGTCGTGAGAATTTTATTGTTATTTTATTTTATCAATTTATTATTTTATTCTCATTCTACGTGACTTTACCGAAAGAACCAAAGAAGATGAATCCTTGCAGTCACGAAAGCTTTAAATCTAAGCTTTAAAACGAAATTATTTGGATTAAATAAATGAACAGGAGCATATGCAATGAGCATTCAGAGCAGTGGGTCTTAACCTTTACAGCAGGCCTGCCCGCCCCCCTTTGGTTCTTAATCGTTTAAAAACTGTACAGTGTTAATAAACACACGGGGTTTGATGAAACAAAGTAATTCATATTCTTGGTTCTCGGTAAAGTCACGTAGAAGGGAAATAATAAAATAATAAAATAAAACTATTACATTCTCACGAAGTTTCGATTGCAACACAAGTAACCTTCATCAGGTGTGAAAACCACAGCAATAATTTTATTTTTTATTTTATTATTTCCCTTCTACGTGACTTTACCGAAAGAACCAAGAATATGAATCCCTGCAGTCACGAAAGCTTTAAATCGAAACACAGTAAGTTGTTACTTACGTACCTGTGCTTAATTTGTGTGTTCGATTATTTACCTTCTGAAAAGAATCTGGCCATGTCTCGCACCCCCAGATAGGGCATCTCTCACCCCCGGAGGGTGCAGCTTGTCCCCCAGGTTAAGAATATCCACTGATTCAGTGACCAAATACTGTACTGTAAGTCTCATTTGCCACGGTGACCTGTGGGATTAAGTTTTTCAGTTTCAGTTTCATTTATTTGCTATAGCCATGTGAGCCATTCGGCTCTTGAATCGGGTGCAACCGCAACAAACAAAAAACAGAAACATGAACAAGAAAACATTTTAAAGTGACTATGTGACTGTGCAAACATAAAATCCAGGAAAAAACAGCAAAATATTCCTGAAAAAGCACCATACACCAACGCTGTGTGCAAAAATCCCAGTGGGATGCAAGTCAAACAACAACCACAAGACAACTTAGATTACGGCCATCAGTTTAACTCCGTACTACAACAAACAAACATGGCCAAACCAAAAAACTTTTCGACATCACCAAAATAAAGCCATAAATGTAATGTAACAGTGATCATAGGAACTGTGACGGAATTTTCACAATAAACGACATAAACAACATGTAACACCAAATCCTAGAGCCATAGCTGGCTGCATGAGTTACTCCACAACAACAGGAGGATCAGTCGGAGTATCACATTTTTCAATGCACCTTGAAGATCAGCACACTAAATCAAAATACAGATAATCCTTTGCAGCGGTCATCCGGAGCGAAACATTTTATTTTATTTTAGGCCACTGAATAGCAGTGGCAGCTAGGGGTGTACAACTCCTCTAGAGCAATTTTGAGTGAAGATCTCATAGGTAGTGATTCAAGTTGCAGTTTATTGGCAATAGCATTCCAGACCCTGGGGGCATCAATAGCAAAGGCCCTTCCTCCAGTTTTTGTACGGCAATAGGGAAAGGGAAGCTGGTAAATGAGCGAAGACCTCAGGCCAAATTTGTTCTTTGAAACAGAGGAGATCCAACATGTAGTCTTCGGATTTTTTTGTAAGTACATCGTGAATAAATAAGATCTGGTGCACAAGCCGTCGAACATTGAGATGTTAAGTTTGACCCAATTTAGAGATCACAGTGGTGAGTCCTATATGGGCAGTTCAATGCAAATCTTAAGACCGAGTGATAGATGGAATCAAGCTTCTTCAGTACAGTACTTGGGGCTGATTTATACACGATGTCACAGTAATCAAGTAGAGGCAGTATGGTAGCTTTTATCAATTCCAAACGGAACACAGGGGGGAAGCAGTGCTTGTGTCGATACAAAAAAACAATTTTATTTTTTGTCTTTTTACCAATATGATCAATGTGATCTTCAAAATTCAGTTTTGAATCCAGAATGACCCCAAGATACTTATAGATCTTGACTTGCTCTATTTGATAATTATTTAAGGAATGCAATTGGGGAAAAATAGCTTCCTGCTTTAGTCCTGGTGAGAAGCATAGCACCTTGGTTTTGTAGGTATTCAGGACTAGTTTAAGAGCAACTAGCTGATGTTGTAGTTTGGTGAAATCACCCTGGAGCTTAGCAATCACGTCATCCGGAGAGCGGCCAGCAGTAATCAGTATCGTGTCATCTGCAAACAGATTTACCCTGGAATGATCCAGGTCAGTGCCCAAGTCATTGACATATAGAGAGAACAAGAGGGGGCCGAGGATGGAACTCTGTGGAACCCGTTTTGTTATCTTAACACTTTTTGACCTCCAACCATCTGTGAATACAGTTTGGGTGCGAGAAAAGAGGTAATTTTTTAACCATTTTACTGCGTTTTCGGAAAAACCGAGGCAACTTAGTTTACTAAGCAGGGTGTTGTGGTCTACTGTATCAAAAGCTTTGGACAGGTCAAGAAAAAGACAGGCACAGTACTGCTTATTATCAAGGCTACTGTTTAATGTGATTCAGAGAGTCTAATGCAGCAGATGTGGTGCTGTATTTTTTCCGGAACCCAGATTGTTTTAGATGTAGTAGATTATTGGTGGACAGAAAACTGCTAATTTGGTAGTTCAATAATTTTTCAAACATTTTCATCAACGGGGACAAAATTGAGATAGGTCGGTAGGTATCTGGATCATCTTTTAGGCCCTCCTTTGTGAAGTGGCCGGAAATAGGAATGTTTCCATGCTAGAGGAACTGATGCTTCTTTGATGGACAGGTTGAAAATATGGGCAGTAGAAAGCCATGATAGCACAAACGAGCATTCAGGGTTGGTGGTCATCCGTTTACAGCCCTGCAGAGACAGTGGTGGAAAATCCACATTCCTATGACGGATGCGAGTCTTTCCATAGGAGCAACCCAATGTTGACTTCCCCAGTAAAGGGTACTCATTTTATGCGTGGAAAGAGCTTTATAGCTCATCGGATTCTTCCAGTATAAATACAAATTGTGGTGATTCTGTTTTGCCGATTTCATTACTCCACCCCCACGGTTGATTGCCCTCTCGTGACGCGTTCCTTTCCTCTTCTGCCATTCCGTTATTATTATTCTTCACAATTTACCCGACTAAACGCATAATCTGGTGATGCTGCTGCTGGCAGTGGGTGCACACGCACTGATAACAACACAACTCATTTGTACGTGCCATGAAGAAGGGCCATTACCCGAAACGTCGCCTATTATATATTTTTTAAAGCCCCCCTCAGTGTTATCGACGAATGTGATATTGTTTAGTATTATACCGTGCTAAGATTTCGTATTATAATATAAAAAAAACCGTTTAAACCCACGGTCACGTGCTCTGTAATTGCACGCTAGTGACGTCACTGCACAGGTTAATTAAACACACGTGGGTGCTTTAACAGAGCTACATTCTGCATGTGTGTAGCCATACGATGAAAATGTGTCGTCATCGTTGGCTTAGGGGCCGTCCATAAATGACGTCACGCGATTTTGGACGATTTTTTACCCCCCCCCCTCGTCACACCGCGTCACAAAAAGTCAGACCCCCCCTCAAATATGACGTCACAAAGCTCTGCCCCACCCCCCCCCCCCCAAAAAATAAAACATGCTTCAAATCGCTTTAAACTATTGTCATTGTGGTGCGTATTTAATGTGGCGCTGCACTCTGATGTTGTAGGAGAAAACATTTATTAAAAAGTCTATTTAATTAAGTAGAACGTGTTGTCTATATTTATTTCAAGTTGTGCATTTTGATGTGACGTCATATTTCTCAACCTCCCCCCCCTCGTCACACATCGTCACAAATGTCTGACCACCCCCCCCCCCCCCAGGTGCGTGACGTCATTTATGGGCGGCTCCTTACTGATTGCAACATCAAACGAATGTTTGTATGTTTGTTGTTGTAACGTTTCCCCGTGCCCCGGCTGGACACATCTATGAGGAAAAAAATTGCTTTAAAGCTCATCGGAATTCCTCCTGGTGCGGTATAAAATAAATCGATTCTGATTCTCAATGAAAATTTGTGATTCAGCCAATTAGGATAATTGGGTGCATGACGTCACACCTTCAAAGGAGCCGCTCCTAATTGTAATGTCACGTGGCGAACGACGTCACCGGCTTTCGCGCGCTTACCGATTGGTCGATCTGAGATTTCCTCCCCCCCCCCCTCCCAAATTTTTGCATAAATTATCCCTTGACCAATCATAAACGAGATCCGGCCCATGTAAGTGATGGAGAGTCGTGTATCGATTCTTGCGAGTGTGAATCGATGATCTTGAAATATTTTAAGTTGTGTGAGATTTGTTCCAGCAAACTATTAACACAGAAACTATTTATGATGATTTTATTTTACCAGAGGGTATGGTAAAACAGCGAACCCGGCCATCACAAATTATAAGCCGAAGCGAAGTGAGCGGCTGGATCATCACGTGGACTTTTATAGCAAGCAAAATACTCCGGAAAAAATACTTTCGGCATGTAAACAATTTCATCAAGTGGCAACGGCGATTCAAATAAATTGTCTCGATGGCGTCCGATTATATTATTTATTTAATTGCATCCCCTCAGTTAAAGTACGAACGTCGCCAACAGGTTGCAGGGAATCGAAAGCGAAACGATTCTATCCTTAACTGATCGATTCCATGCGTTCGCTATAGCGATAGCAAACGCACTTAGGGATCGACGAATCGATTCTACGTTCGCACTAAATGTTATCGCACGCCGGGGGCCGCTGGTTGACTCCGCTCCAAGCGTTGCTTTGCATCAGGAATCGATTCCTGAAACGAGTCAACACGGGAATCTACAAGAGAAATGGAGTCGATACAAGCGTAGCAGCCGCAGAGTGAAAACGGAGGCTTAGAAGGTAACCTGTTACATTTAACAGCAACATTTATAATTATGTAAAACAACAGTTAAACGGTTTATTTTATCGATGTTGCGCTGATTAGGCCGCGATAACCTCCGCTGATGTTTAAGCCGGTGGAGTTGATTGTGCCCGTATAGCGGCCACAGACGCGACTGGCGCGTTTTGTATTAAATGTAACGGGTTTTGATTTCACACAACGGATAAGCAAAGGGCAGGGAGCCCCTATTGTAAATGGTATTATGTATTGGCGATGGTGCCATTCTATGCTGTGAATGTTAATCATGTAACGGATGTTAATTAAATAAAACATTTGCTGTATGTTTATTGTATTCGTCATATTCACAAGGCAAGATCAATCCACTGCTGGTTGATTATCTCCTTATATTATTTCATTATTATTGCTCCCGTGGCAATGCCACTCACTGCATACTCAGGATGGCTAGGAGATGTTAACTACCTCGCCTGGTATGCAGGAGGTCGTGTGGGTTCGATCACTACCCTGACGCCTGCTGCATATTTTGAGTTTGCTGTCTCTTGTTCGCGCCACTGCTGGCCTAAGGGCCTCCACTAGAGGGAGCTCTAGGGTGTTTTTGGCCTACTCTTCCATGCTCAGGTGTGAAAACCACAGCAAAATTTATTGCTGTGGTTTTCACACCCGATGATGATTGCTTGTGTTGCAGTCGAAACGTCGTGATAATTGTATTGTTTTATATTTTTATTATTTTATTGTTTCCCTTCTACGTGACTTTATCGAAAGAACCAAGAATATGAATCCCTGCAGTCACGAAAGCTTTAAATCACTACAATAAAGTGTTCATGTTTAATCGTATATCATCACCATCATCAGCCATGATCGATTCACTGCTAGATAAATGTCCCTATATCATTATTTCATTATTCAGTGATATTTAATTTGTATGATATCATATTCTTAGTTCTTTCGGTAAAGTCACGTTGAAGGGAAACAATAAAATAATAAAATATATATAAAACAATAAAAATTCTCACGACGTTTCGACCATAACACAAACGGTCGTCATCAGGTGTGTCGGTTTGTTTTATTGTTTTATATATATTTTATTATTTTATTGTTTCCCTTCAACGTGACTTTACCGAAAGAACTAAGAATATGAATTACTGCAGTCACGAAAGCTTTAAATCAAAATTTGTATGATATCGTTTGTTCAATGGTAATGAATAATATTGATGTTACGCATTGTTATTTAATGTTGTAAACATCACTGTGCATTGCTACAAGACTGAGAATGCTGTCCATAGTGGTGCTATGATATTGTTAATGCTGAAAACAAGACACAAATGATCGATCATTGGATCAGTGCGACCCCAAATAATGACAGATGATTCTCTGGGTAATTAAATTGTTCCGTTGTAGGAGATTGGTTGCATATGAGCTCGTGACTGCACTGTGTATGTATCTATGTTGGAACTTCTTCTCGCACCATACGTAGCCAATCGTGCTAATCAGAGGTGCGGGGGAAGGAATCGGAGGTGCGGGGGATGGCGACACTAATAACAATGATGATTTTACACATTTTATGATTATGCTTGTGATAACTTTGACAATTATGATGGTTATAATTTGAAAATGATGATGATAATTATAATAATTGCAATTATGATAACGATAATGACAGCGATCCTATCATCTCATTACAGGACTCCACTTTTATTCCACCAGACCAATTATCTTCCCAAGAAAACTAAAGCAACAATCTTCAACCGCACCTCAATGGGTGCGTGTTTAACAAGACCTCTGGCAAACGTGCAACATTGGCTTCGGCGTTCACCGACGAAAGGCAACACGCATTTACGCCACACGGCTGCAATGGAAATGGATGTTTAAAAATACTTTCACGTGGTGGAAATTATTTTTTTTCCCTTCATCGTACGTGCTCGTTCGCAGAAGACATGGCCAAAAGAGAACCGGCAAACGATGTTCGCACGATGGCCATCGGCAAAAGAAAAACGGGAATGGAGGTTGGAATGACGAGCGCAGCGATGCCATGCGTACAGGAGTGCGGTTCTGGCTCTGTGAATCGTAGATTTTTCCTCCCCATACCCGAGACGTGGCCAGGATTTTGAGACTGCTGCGGTGAGAAGATCAACGTGGATTTTTTTTTTTTTACAGATGCCTAATTTATTGTAAATTTAGTTTAAAAAAAAAAAAGATAAAACTGCCAGATAGGTCGCCTTGTGTGCAAGCCCAAAAAGAAACCAACTCTTGTGACGTTTCTACGGCCTCTGCAAGCCTACTCTCTCAAGGATTCTCTCCGTTACCAAGCAATGTTAGCTCACTGCGTAATTCGCCAGGCTTAGTCGCTCGCGGCAGGGTAAATTGGGGCTGCTCCGACCTGGTCCCAAGACGTCTCGCCAGCGTGGAAGTAGGAGGCCAAAATACCCTCTGGTGGGGACCTCTCGTGCCCCCTTTGATTGGAGACCCTTCTGTCAGCGGTGGCGTGTGCGGAGTAATTGCAGGGCTGCACCTTTCCTTTCCGTTCATTTTCAATGTGGACACTTGTCTGCACGAGTAATGGTTTTGCGCCGGGCCTCCCATCGGCCAACGACAGTAACACCTCTGATTAGCACGTTTGGCTACGTGCGAGAAGAAGTTCAACATACATACAACACATTCAGCTTGCCGATCATCATTATCATCATCGCTTAATGTCTATACCGCCCCGACCCAAGGGACGTTTGATATCATTACTCGGCAAGGAAGTAGCGATCGCAGGTCAAACGCGATGTTCATAAACGATACAATTTAGACGGTACACCCAACGATTGCCATCACGTGACCCGGTTGGACCAATCGGAGGCAGGCTGGCTGACCTCGGATCCAAAAGGAAGCATTGCTGGAAGGCGAAGGAGGGAAATATCGACAAGCTGCGGAATTTTGGGTAACGCCGCAATTTGTGATTTTTCAAGAGCAGCAGCTTTTTGGGGGAAACGAACGGTGAAATTTGGCGTGAACCTTTGGGATTTTGGTGAACAGCGGGTATATCCACAGGCGGCAATTTTTTTTTTGAAGAACAACTGATTTTGGAGTTCAGCGGAAAAGTTGGGGGGAATCGAACCGAGGACTTTTTGTGAGAACGGCAGAATTTTGGCGAACGGATTTTTTTCGGTGGATTTTGGTGGTTGGTGGGGGGGGTGGCGGCGGCGGCGGCGACGCGCTACGGAGTTTGGGGGATTTCCGCCGGAGATTGACGTCGGCCATGGCGGAGCACGCGGACCTGATGGCCGAGCTGACGTCGGTGGAGCGGATGAGTGCCCAGGAGCGACTGCGCCACGCGCAGAAGCGGCGTGCACAGCAGCTGAAGCGCTGGACGCAGCACGAGAAGGAGGAGCAGCATGGCAAGCGGAAAAAGAAGAGAGCGGGCGGCAAAGGAGGAGGAGAAGGAGGTTCGGGAGATGCAAAGACGGGCTTGGCCGGGACGTCCGGTAAAGCATCGCCCCAGAAAAGCGTGCGTTTTACTCCCAACATCACCCTGTTGGAGGCCGCAGCACGGAACGACGTCGAGGAAGGTGATGTGAAACTGGCGGGACGGGGTGGGTTAGAGCCGTTTGTAACGATGCCATTGGTTGATGTGGACGAATGTCGATTGTTTGGCTTGTTTTGCATGTTGGAAAGCATGTGTAAGGTCCATGTTTTTCAATTTGTGTATGGTGCACGTGTTTCCCTGCTTTGGCTGTCATTCCGTGATCAGTCTCTACCACTGAACATCGTCAACTGTGGACGGGGGAGCGATGAATCGGCTCGTGTGCAGGAGATGGATTGTTGCACAGCATAAGGGGGATGGTGACGATTTTTGGGATGGCCTTCATTCAGCAGTGGATAGATCATGGCCTCCGATGATATGTTGTATTCAATGGGTTCACATGACCCCTGTGTGTCCACCATAGGCGCTACAATTCACCGGAATGTTTTTCAACTACGCAAAAAAATTCGAATCGCGGCTCTGGATCGAGACGGCGCTCTATAAAGTGAAGGCACTCTATAAATTAGATTATTATATATAAGGTGGGTGGGGAGGCTTTGGCAGTATGCATCACTGCTGTAAGGGTTGATTGTCTCTGGTCAAGACCAATCACGGAATGGCAGTCAAAGTCGGGACAACACGCCCTACTTCAGATATGACCTCTGAACCACACTGCCACTTCATGTGTATATATATACATATTTTGCTCTCGTTTGCTAGTTCAGTGCATTGTAGCTGCTGAAGGAGGCAATGCACACGGAGAATCACGTCCACAGCGGAGACGGAGCAATGCGATCGGCTAGCGTGCAGCAGGAACTAGATCGATGGTTGCATCGCAACGCCGCGGAGATGTGTCAGCGGCTTGGGGAGATCTCCGTCCAGCAGTGGATTGAGTGTTGTCCTTTCCCCGTACCTCTTCATTGTTGATGATGGTGTGATGATAATGCCATCTTTTGGCTGCCCGTCATAGTGATTTGGAATTGCCACAACCCTCCCTGAAACGTCAGCGGAGATGAGCACTATCCCATACCACTCTTTAACAGGGAGGAAATGTCACTCTCCTGTCCATCTGTATACGGTGTCTTCCCACCCATGTGACGTGGACCCAACGTATGTAATACAGACGCGAATCCAGTAGCATTGACTCTTCTTACACGGGCGATTCGATGCATCTGTCATGAGTTTAAGAATTGATATTAATCAATACATTGTTACAACTTATTCTGGTCGTATGAGTCTATACGTGCACTTCTATTTTGTTGCGAGTGACAAAAGTGCTCATCTGTTTAGAGCCTTCAGCCAGTGGTGGAAATTCCACATTCCTTTGGCAGGGGTGAGTATATCCTTAGAACAACCATTGTTGACTACCCTCCCCCCCCCCCCCCCCCGTCAAAGTGGTGCTAATTTTATCGACCCAGGAGAGATGATGGGCTGGGCTAAGCAAGCCCCAACCAGGACTTGAACCAGAAACTTTCTGTTTACGAGCCGCTCGCGCTACCGCTGACCCGCCCTGTGTGTACACACGTGAGGGATGCGTGCACGTGAAGCAGTGGCGCATTGGTTAGGGCGGTGAGATGTTAACTACCTCGCCTAGTATACAGGAGGTCGTGGGTTCGATCTCAACCCTGACAACTGTATTTTTGGACTTTGCATGTTCTCCCCGTGTGTCGCGTGGATTTTTTCTCCAAGTCCTCCGGTTTTTCCCTGCACATTTAGAATCAACGTGCGTTTGGGGTATTTGGCTGCTGCTATAAATGTGCACGTGATGATAAGCCACTTTGTTGAGCTATCATGTGTGGCCAGGTCGCGTCTGAAAACGAGCTATATAGCTCAGTGAGCCTTACCTATTAAAATAAAAAAAAATAGTTTATAGCTTTATAGTTTCAATTCCCACTCACGCCAAACATCAGTGACGCGTAATATTTGAACCGTTTCTGGGTTTCCACTTGGTCTGCTTGGCCTTGAATGAGTACCCGGCACAGTGTGCTTTAAACATCAGCGCTGGGGGTGGGGGACACAAAAGGGGCAGCACTACGTGCTACGTGAAGTGGTGTGGGCAGCACTTAGTGCTGTCCACACCACTTCACTCATGCACCCTGCCACCCTTAATAGGTGCTCGCGGACAGCACTTGCCCCAGCTGTCTGCGAGTCTCTCTGGGGGGGGGGGGGGGGGGATCTTCGTCTTTTGTTTGTAATGTAGTAATAGTAATGAACATTTAGCAGGTGCGATTCATCCAGGGATCTCAGTGCATTGCTAATCCGACTGTACCAGGCAAAAAATGCTGAGTATTTGTGGAATTTAATCATGAAAGTTTTTACCTTATCCCTGAACGTCGATCAGACTTTCAGCCCAACTTCTACACTCGCGGAAAGTATTTCAACTTTACTGCACAGGGTTGCACATTAGTCATCGTGAGTTATCATCAGCCTTGGTCAATCCACTGCTGGATGCTGGCCTTGCCAAGCTGCCTCCACCTCTCACGGCCCGGCGATGTGAACGGTCCACGTAGCATCTTCCCACAAGCTGATTTCTTTGCCAAACCCATCTCATCGGTGGATGACCTCACTTTAATTTGTTTGTTAGATTGGTTGAGTGTTTATTGGTGGTTAGGAGCGGTGGGCGCAGTGGTTAGCGCCACCGCGGCATGTGCCTGGCGACCCTAGTTAGTTCTGCATGTACGTACGTATGTTGAACTTCTTTCACACCGCACGTAGCCAACCGAGCTAATCGTAGGTTACGGAGAAAGGACAACAAACTGATCACAAAAAGCAGTTGCCCAGTTGGATTCCAAACATGGGTAGCGAGTGATATCCAAACCGGCCCTGTGAGTCAACCCCTCCACCTTCACCTCTCCGCACTGACCATCGTGGTGAAGTATGGTTAAAACATCCCCCCATGGTGAACTAGACTTCCATAGTGAACTAGACTTCCATAGTGAACTAGACTTATATGGTGAACTAGACTTATATGGTGAACTAGACTTGTATGGTGAACTAGACTTTTATGATGAACTGAACTTCCGTGATAAACTGGACTCCCATGCTAAATTGGACGACTTCCATGGTAAACTGGACTTCCATGGTGAACTGGACTTCCGTGGTAAACTGGACTCCCATGCTAAATTGGACTTCCATGGTGAACTGGACTTCCATGGTAAACTGGACTTCCATGGTGAACTGGACTTCCATGGTAAACTGGACTTCCATGGTGAACTGGACTTCCATGGTGAACTGGACTTCCATGGTGAACTGGACTCCCGTGGTAAACTGGACTTCCATGGTGAACTGGACTTCCATGGTGAACTGGACTCCCGTGGTAAACTGGACTCCCGTGGTAAACTGGACTTCCATGGTGAACTGGACTCCCGTGGTGAACTGGACTTCCATGGTGAACTGGACTTCCATGGTAAACTGGACTCCCGTGGTAAACTGGACTTCCATGGTGAGGGGTCGGCAACCAAAATAACAAGGAGAGACATTTTTTTTCTCTTTCAAATTTCAAGAGCTGCGCTGCAGTCCTTAAAGAGCCACCACATGCTCTACTAAAACGTCCATATTAATCCGTTGCATCGTTTTTCCCTAAAAGCGCCTGGGGGAACAGATTTTTTTTCGACGTACATTGTGTTGGGATTTTTTTTTCCCTCCAATTTTGATCGCGATGTCACGGGACAGAGAATCCGTCGTTCTGGAAGGGTCGTTGGCACTGCTCTGCGAGATAAGAGATCGGCCAGTGCAAGTGAGCATCACAGAACTGTCTCCGAACATCCCTTCGAGTGACCTCGTCCACCTTCAGAGGCAGTACTCTTTTAACTAAGACTTTTTTTTATCAGGTAAGGCCTACTGAGTTATGTAGCTCAGTTTGGAAGCGACCTGGCCACATGATAGCTCAAAATTTATACCAGTAAAATACTCTAAATGCATGTTTCTAAAATCCACGTGGCCACGGGGAGAGAGACACTCAAAGTCCACATATACAGCAGGCGTCAGGGTCGGGATGAAAGCCACGAGTTCCTGCATACCAGGCAAAAGGAGTCAACATCTCGCCACCGTGGCACCCCAGCCACAGAGAAGTTCCTGAGGTCTTCGGGACCGCCTTCTTTCTAAGTACTCCGAGATCAAGGTTCATTTCCTGGGAGTGATCGGGATTTTGGCAGTACAGCTCCCAAGCTTTACGAACGCGTTGCTGATACGACAATCAGAATCGTTAGAGCTGCGTAAGTCCCGTCTTGAAAACTCACCCCTTTAAAAACTGGCCTTTACCCTACGCTAGTTCTGGCCGTTTACCCCCCCCCCCCCGCAGGTTCTGTTTATTTCCTGGCTTTCCATACACGGTGATGACGCATTGGTTGGGATCTACGGACGCAATGTGCCACTTACAAAAGTATATTATTGTTGATGTTCGTCACATGCCTGTCAACCAGATTTTTGTAAATTCTCAGAGCTGGAATTTAGCCAAATCAAGTGCAGACCACAAATTAACAGTCATTGGTGACCGGGTTGAAGCCATCAACTCAATAGATTTGTGAACCCTGTTTAAATACAACTAAGTCTCCGTGAACCTGTGGGTCCCTATGTGAGTCAATGGTGACCGGGTTGAACCTATCACCTGAGAACCCGGTTTAATAACGGACGATTGAATCCCGGACTGGAACTCAGAACCACAGCGGTACCAACTCTGTGCTCAATCTCGAAAAAATCGGCAACCTGTATTTGATGTTTCAAACTGTACCAGGTAAGGCTGAGACGACCCAGGGGAAGCTTGTGATCGGTTCAAATTGTAGAAAGTGTTTGCCGTGGCCGGGAATCAAACGCGGGCCACTGGGTTCATAACGGAGTCCACTGACCACTACACACGGCTGCTCCGCACACGAATGAGCGCACACACGTCAAACACTCGCACAAGGAAACGCATACAAAACACTCACACACTCACACACACACTGGACTCAAGGAGCGGCAACCGCAAGCAGCTGAACCGCTCAATAATTAACGACGGCTGATGAAAAGCCACTTCGGGCAACGTGACACCGGGCAGCAGCTCCCCCCTCCGCCCTCCGCTCACCGCCGTGCGCAGAGAAACTCTAACCGGACGCAAAGCCTCACGCAGGGATCCCCTCTAGTCAACACGCTCGCTCACTGGCTAGCTCACTCGCTGTCCCACAAAACACTCGCAAAACATCGTGCATAACCCCCCCACCACCACCCCCTTCCGCCGCGGCCCCCCCCCCCCGCAACCCCCGGGGCAATAATTCACTCTGGCGTACTGTGTAGCTGTTTTGTTGTTGTTAGTTTGCAGTTGTGTCGATGTGCTTCTCGTGGTGTTGTTAATTGTGTCGGTTTGCCTGCGGCGGAACGCCACCACCCCCGTCGTTGTTGTTGTTGGTCGTGTCTGCACGAGCGCGCGTACGCTTCGTATTTATATTTGGGCAAACATTGCGGTCTGCTGCTGCTGCCGCTTGCTTGCAAGGCAGGTGCTGGGTGGATTGTTACATCGCCGGGGTCTTGAGAGATGACGGGCGGCTTGAGGAGGCCCTCATCCAGCAGTGGATTGACCGTAGCTAACGATGGTAGTGGAGTCTTGGTTCGGCTTTGCCCAAGCAGTGGAATGACCCACTGTTACCTCGCCTGGTATACAGGAGGTTGTGGGTTCGATCCCGACCCTGACGCCTGCTGTATATTTGGAGTTTTCATGTCTCTCTCCCCGTGGTCACGTGGGTTCTTCTCTGGGTCCCCCGGTTTTTCCACACCACATTTTGAAACACTTGTTTTAGAGTAATTGCATGCTTCAAATTTCCACGCGATGATAAGCCACTTCATTGAGCTATCAATGTGTGGCCAGGTCGCTTCTGAAAAAGAGCAGTATAGCTCGGTGTGCCTGACCGGGTAAAATAAAAAAAAATCATGATAATGGTGGCATACATTTTCATGTTAGACTTGAGTCTACATTGTTAAATTTGATGGACAGCATTTAATTTATTGTGTGTGTGTTTAAATAAAGTGGGCAGTGATGCTATAGTAGTCAGCATGGTCCGTTGCGGACCCCGATGACCCAAGTTTAATTCCCGGCCACAGCTAACATCAGCGGCAAGTAAAAAATATAAATGTCTAAAAATATAAAACTGGTCCTGGGTTTTCCCGAGGTTGTTTTGCAATGTACAGCCCTTTATCACTCCACCGCTCAACAAACGCTTCCCCACATCTCTCGGCCATGGAGGTTGTTTGATCACACATTGCAAGTTACAAAACACTGGCCAGTGCCGGTTGGTGATGGTTGAGTGGGGGGGGGGGGTACCCTGGACATGTTCAGATGTCACCCGCGACCCACGTTAGTCGTGGCTCATCCTCCAGTGATACCTCGTACAGAGTGTGGACATCAGCACTGGGGAGACAAAGGCAGCCGGGGGCGTGGTGCCAGTCAAAACCAGCTAATCTCGAATACCGCGGCTGGCCTTCCAATGTGCTCGCTATAAACGTACTTACCCCGACAGCCAATGTAGGCTGCATGGGGGGGATCTTTGTCTTTTTTTTGCGAAGTGCAGTGTTTATTTTACCGCCAGGCCCACCTCATCAATTGCTTGAGGTGCACCGGGTGACTCAGGTCAGCGCGCTGAGCCGGTAACGCTGAGATCCTGTGCTCGAATTCAGGTTTCAGCCACGCCTGATTAAACCAGTTCGTGCAAAGTTGATGGTCTCTGTTGGGCCCCGGCCAATGACTGCACGATAAAATAATTCTGTTTAAAAAAAAGATTATTCTTAATTTAAATTCACTCTTAGCTTAATTTTTAGTTTTTTTTTTTACTCCAGCTCTGAGAATTAAGATATGGGGTTTGCTGCGGTGCGACGAATACCAATCCAATAGCAGAGTGTGCGTGGGAAAAAGTGAATGCCTAAGTGTGTGAAGATTTTTTTAAAAACTGCCACCTGAAGGATTTCTCAATTGAAGTCCAATAAATATCTCTTGTGCAACAGTCCTCTGACACACGGGGGTCACGGGATGTCCAAATGAACTCTTCGTCTGATGACACAATAGTGTGCTGGGAATAAAAAAAAATTAGAATTGATTCTCCCCGCTCACGAAGCGCGCATCAAATCAAGCGTGCGGCAATCCAGTACGTGATGTTTCTGTCTAAATCAGCTCAAGCCCTCCCGCAGTCATATGACCCGTGTGTGGTCACCCCCACCCTGAATCCCTCCCCTCTCCCCGCCCACTGTGAAGACAGACTCCGCTCAATTCGTGCAGCTCACTTCTCCTGCTCGCTCCTCTCATCATCATCACCACAACCCTCTCATCCCCTTTGACATCTTGGCTCAGTCATTCCGTCTCCCCCCTCCTCCTCACCTTCCTTCACCAGGACTCCTCCTCTCTTCCCGCTGCCACTGTGGCAAGCTGTTAACTACCTCGCCTGGTATACAGGAGGTCTTGGGTTCGATCCCGATGTCTGTATATTTGTAGTTCGTATCTTCTCCCCGTGGTCACGTGTATTTTTCTCCTGGGTCCTCCGGTATTTCCCTGCACATTTATACACATTGGAGTCTTTGGCCGCTTTAAATTTCCACGTGATCATAAGCCGCTTTGTTGAGCTATCATTTGTGGGAAGGTTGCTTCTGAAAAAGAGCTATTTCAAGCAGTGGGCCTTACCTGGCAAAATAAAAAATTGTTTAGTTTCACTTGAACGTGCCTTCCCCTCTCGGGGAATTCCATCCCAGCCTCCATCCCCTCTCACTGCTCTCTCTCTCTCCCCCATGCATTACATCCTTGACTCGACTCACCTTCTCATGGTGGTGGTGCCACAGGTACAACGTTTTTTGCCATCTGTATAGGCTAATTGTGTCAACAACACTGCACTAAAAAGACAAGCAAATAAGGGAGAGAAAAACAACACCGATGAGACGGTGAAAATTAGATGAGTAATGATACTTGCCGAGCATCGTGTGTGTTTCCCATCCAGCCCCTCGAGGCCACGACATTCAAAGTGTCGTTGTAGAGTACCTTAAAAACATTGCAAAACCCCGACTCAACAATTCACCATCATGACCCGTCTCATCTGCTGCCCATCGTCCCCTCTAGCCATGACGTGTCCTAACCCAAGCTCACTTTTACGCTGTCTTAAACCTGCATATGTAAACTCAACTACTTAAAGTTGTTGGGTTTTTTTTACCAGGTAAGGCCCGCTGAGCTGTTTAGCTCTTTTTCAGAAGCGATCTGGCCACATGTGATAAGCTCAACGAAGTGGCTTATCGCGTGGAAATCTATCGCAGCCGTATACTCTACGCGCGTGTTGATTATAAATGTGGAGGGAAAACCCGAGGGCCCGGAGAAAAATCCATGCGACCACGGGGAGAACACGCACACTCCAAAAATACAGCAGGCGTCGTCAGGGTCGGGATCGAACCCATGACCTCCCGCATACCAGGCGCGGTAGTTAACATCTCGCGACCACGGCGCCCCACTCGCCCACGTGTTCCTCTTCCTGTCGCTCGGTTTAATTTGGCATCGCTGAACACCGGTGAAAAAGATCTCCGTAGCTCATCGCTGCCTCTTCCAGCTCAAATGTCTTTTTGTCTAAACGTCTTCACGACTTCAAAGCATGTGTGCGCTCCACAATCCTTTCTTTTGCACGCCGCTCAGCTCTTGTTCCGTTCGCGTGTGTTTCGTTTACGAGCGTCGTTAAATACCTCGTTTGTTCATCGCACACAATTCCTTTAAAAGGCCGCCGCCCACAGCTGGACACTTTCTCTTGTGACGTTGATGTTTGTTGTCTTTGTTGTTGTTGTTGTTGCTGTGATCACGCAGCACCACCGACCTCCCATGTAAAATAGCCGGGCAACTGGCACTAAACGAGTCCATCGACGTCGTCGTCGTCATCATCATCCGTGTAACAAATGAAAATACATTTCGATTTAAAGCTTTCGTGACTGCAATGATTCATCTTCTTTGGTTCTTTCGGTAAAGTCACGTAGAATGAGAATAAAATAATAAGTTGATAAAATAAAATAACACAATAATATTCTCACGACGTTTCATCAGGTGAAGGGACGAGACTGTCTGGTAGGACAGCGCTGGAGAAAATACAATCGAGTAATTCGGTTAAGTGCCTTAGCAGGGAGAGATGGGGAGCAATGGGCAATGCAATATTATTTTGCTCAACCAGATGAGACTTCAAAGAGATAGGGGTGAGTCTCATATGCAAGAGTGACGTGGGTACTATTATAATTATAATATTATTCTGATTTACAGTCGCTTTGGCCAACCCACTGCTGGATGAAGATCCTCGCCATGCCGTGCTGAACTTGGGGGATATTTTGACCGGTTTTTTTTCGTGTTGTCCGATTGATTGTGTAATTCAGTGGAGAATCAGCGGAACAATTGGTTACTAGAATTAAACGGATCGCAGCCCCTCTCTATTTTGACTCCGTGCATGTGTGTTTATTGACGCGTGCAGTGAAACAGATTCTGGAGACCCGAGTTAACCCTGACCTCTGCAATGAAGATGGACTCACCGCCCTCCACCAGGTTGGGATGAGTTATCAACAAACTCCCACTCCACATAAAACAATCATTTTCACTAAACTGCTTACATTCCTCCCTTAAAACCCATCTCTTCTCCCATGCCTACCCTACTGCTACTCCCTGCCCCGGCCACCCAGCTACGACCAGGCCTTCCCCCAACCCCTATCACTCACTACCCCAACCCCTATCACTCGCTTCTCCAACCCCTATCACTCACTTCCCCAACCCCTCTTTAATAACTCCCACATGTCCTCATACCGTCGCCATAGCTACACCACCAATTTTAATAACCCCACTCTTTATTTTAGCCACTATCATCTCATGTACAATTTAATAATATAATTATTGGAACGTGCCTTGGGCCAAGGCGCTACCTAAACCTACAAAAAGATAAGATAGGCACCCAGACGTGGTGCCAGCTGCTGCAATTTGTATCCCGTGGCGAGATGTTAACTCCCTCGCTTGGTATGCAGGGGGTCGTGGGTTCGATCCCAACCTTGGAGTTTGCGTCTCTCTCTCTCCCCACCCCCCCCCCCCCCCGTGGTCGCGTAGATTTTTCTCCGGGTCCTCCGGTTTTCCCCTCCACATTTACAATCGACGTGCGTTTAAAGTATTGGGCTGCTATAAATGTCCACGTGATGAGCCAGTTCGTTGAGCTATCATTTGTGGCCTGGTCGCTTCTGAAACAGAGCTATGAAGCTCAGTGGGCCTTGGTAAAAATAAAGCATAGTAGTAATTAGTAAGTTAAACTTCAGGAAGGCGTTCGCAATATTTTTTTTGTGCGGTCATCCACTAACCTTCGCTGCTGCTGCCTCCACAGTTTTTTTTTTATAGTTTAGTGAACGTGACATACCGGACTTGTAGTCCAGAGGTCGCAAGGGTTCAATTTAATCTCCCTTCACAGCGGTTGAAATGTTGGGGCAAGTTTCTCAAATTGCACCCCCCCCCCTCCTCGTCCCACCCCCCCACCATCACCGCCGCCTATGTCCACCCGGCAATGTAATGAATGGGTTCACCACGGTTAGTTTATTGGCAGGTCGTTTGTGGTAGGGTAAAGTGTGGATGCTCCCATTTCCTCGAGTGGAACCTCTTTCTACAGCAGTGACGTGACAACAGAATCACAGAGCTGCACCTCAATCTTCTCGTTCGTGAACTTTTTTTATTATATAAAGCAGTTGGCCAGATATTCTGTGGGTCTTTCGGTCAAGTCACGTAGATAAGTTGAAAGAAAATAACAAAAAACTACGACGTTTCGATCACAACAGAAGCAGTCGTCATCAGGAGGAGAAAAGAGGGGGAAAGCTGCTGAGGCAGATTGTTTTAAAGGTTTAAAATGTGTGTAGCCCAAGGGTCTTAAACGAAGTGGGCGGGGCTAGCGATGTAAATGTGATAAATTAGCATATTAATGTGATGCATTAGCATGTCAATGTGATACATTAGTATGTTAATGTGATAAATTAGCATGTTAATGTGATAAATGTGCATGTTAATGGGATACATTAGCATGTTAATGTGATGCATTAGCATGTTAATGTGATAAATTAGCATGATAATGTGATAAATTAGCATGTTAATGTGATAAATTAGCATGTTAATGTGATACGTTAGTATGTTAATGTGATACATTAGCATGTTAATGTGATAAATTAGCATGCTAATGTGATAAATTAGCATGTTAATGTGATAAATTAGCATGTTAATGGGATACATTAGCATGTTAATGTGATACATTAGCATGTTAATGTGATAAATTAGCATGCTAATGTGATAAATTAGCATGTTAATGTGATAAATTAGCATGTTAATGTGATACATTAGTATGTTAATGTGATACATTAGCATGTTAATGTGATAAATTAGCATGTTAATGTGAGATCAGAGGGCGACCTCCACGACGAGGGCGAGGAAGTGGCTATGTTAATGTGAGAGATTAGCACGAGATTAGCATGTTAATTTACATTAATATGCTAATCGCTCACATTAACATAGCCACTTCCTCACCCTCGTCGTGGAGATCGCCCTCTGATCTCACATTAACATGCTAATTTATCACATTAACATGCTAATTTATCACATTAACATCGCTAGCCCCGCCCACTTCGTTTAAGGCCCTTGGGCTACACCCATTTTAAACCTTTAAAACAGTCTTCCTCAGCAGCTTTCACCCTCTTTTCTCCTCCTGATGACGACTGCTTGCGTTGTGATTGAAACATCGTAGTTTTTTGTTATTTTCTTTCAACCTATCTACGTGACTTTACCAAAAGACCCAAAGAATATGAATTCCTGCAGTCACGAAAGCTTTAAGTCAAGATTTAGCCGGCCAGATGTGACCCTCTTGCGAATGAATCCAGAGACTCGGTAAGGCTTGTACATATATATGTGTATGTTACATGTGTAGCGCATGGCGCTACGAAATCGGCGGCCCAAGTTCGAGTCCCGCTCAAGCCCAACATCAATGACGGTTATCTGAACCAGTTCTGGGCCTCCCCTAGGTTGACTATGCATCAAATGAGTACCTGGTGCTGTGTGTAAACATCGGCACTGGGGAAGACAAAAGCGGCCGGGCGTGGTGCTGGCCACCTACCACTTCGTGTGCCATGCCGGCCTTCATAGGTGCTCACTTACAGCACTTCCCCCAGCAGTCTGTGAAGGCTATATGGGGGATCTTTGTTACATGTGTAAAGGAGATCCAGCCCGGGTAAGCCTTGAACTTTGTCTATATTACGTGGTCGGCGCAGCGCGTCACACATCAGGGAATTACTTCGTTCAGGTGCCACCCTGAACCCGCTTCTCTCCGCCCCTTTTATCCCCTTCCCCCTTCCTTTCTGGAACTTTTCCTGACTCCAACAAACCCCTTAGTTTCTCCAAACAGTCTCCCAACCGGCTCCTCATTTCTACTGGGTTTCCCCCCTCCCCCACCCCGGGCTCTTTCAAATTCACCCTGACGACCAATTAGATTTGGATGGTCCTCCACCTTCCAATCAGATTGCGGGCCCTGCGTCGGCTCCTCCCCCTGAGGACAGCTCCTGGCCAATGACAGTCAAACTCACGAGTCATTAAGACCCGGTGGGCATTTATTTATTTCCTAGCCGGGTTCGCCTCTCGGCATCCCTTACACATAGCCCAGGGGGTCTCAGCAACCAAAATAGCAAGAAGAGACAATTTTTGTTCGAATTCGGTACAAGACTCAATATTGCAATAGCCGCAATGCATGTGAGTACATACGTACGTACACACAGATTACGCTACGTCATGAAGCAGTCCCATAAAGAGCCGCACGTGGCTCCGGAGCCACGGGTTTGCCCACCCCTGACATAGCCCTTTTGTCGATCCACTGCTGGATGAGGGCTTCCCCACGTGTTGGGTTTATGGGGGGGGTTAATTGATCGCACATCACCACGCTGATCTGGTGCAGATCGGCGAAGGCGAATGGGAGGAAAAACACCTGGGAGGATAGAAGTACAGCGCAACCCTTGGATGCTGCTGTTCGCCGCGTGGCCCCGCATGCGCTATGACAACCCGTTTGTGTATGGTGGTGCTCGCCCATCCAAGCATTAGCCAGCCTCACAAACCCGCTTAGCTTTCGAGATCGTCGGGTGATATCCCCAGGCGATTTGACTATATGCGGTGGGGCGTTAATGGGTGAATACATAATTTATATTGGTATTCTGTTGAACGCGATTGGTGTTTTCACGACACATACACACACACACCCCGCGCCAAAAATTTCTGACCAGCAATACAGCATTGTTCTGCATATTTCCCTTGAACTAAAAAGTTTCCACCGTGACTTACACACACACACACACAAGTGCGCGCATCCATGCACGCGCGCACACACAAAATAACTCGTAAACAAAGCATAGAAGAATGCAGTCGACTGGCATTTGATATGGGCGTAAACAATGAAGAAAAACCACGCAGAAGCATTGAATTGTGTTGTAACGCCTTGCAACACCTGCTTGAAGTATTTTAGTAGCGATAATAACAATGGTAGCGCTCGGGCCAAGCGTGCAGGAAGCAGTTTGTCCGCAGGCCGCGATGAAACCATGGGGCTTGCATAGCAGCTCTGCCCAGGATGGCGCACCTAGGCAGGCAGGGACGGGACACCGTGGCGGGTCCTTTTAGCGCTGGTTTTGTCTCGTTTACGTTTTGAAATGCTGCTCTTTTTACGTAGTTTTGCGTTTTGTCGGATAGTTATGGTTGCCCAGCCTGCACTATTATTATGATTGGGTTTTCTTGTCATTTACAAATTCTGTTTTTGTTGGCATTAGCCAAACTCGTGTGCCCCATAATGTGGAGGTGGACACTCCACACACCGTACAGTTCCCAGAGGCAGACTTTGCAGCAGTGAGCATTGCTGACGATGTTGTGCTGATGAGTCCTAATGAGGATTAAACTGATCCCCAGTTTGTCATCGATGCATCACTGCTGCTGCTGCCAGTCGGCCACATTTTCTCTAATTAATTTTCCATGGTGACCACAATGCAATTCTTCAGGAAACGCTAATGGTTTTTTTAGCACGTATTTTTTTTTTTACACACGTGTAAGTCTTGTTTGAAACGCAATTTTTTATGGCAAACATTTCAATAAATTGTTCTGGTTTTCTCTCAGAATAAGTCTCTAATAACAACAAAGTTTTTACACCAAAGTGTTGTTCATATCGAATCATCATTACGAGAGTTGCAGTACCCCTCCCCCCTTTACGGATGGACGGAGGTTTAGGCAGAAACGTTTTCGAGCTTAGTTGGGCAACCGTTAAGAAAAACACGTCGATTGACCTCTCTCAGAGTAAGGGTCACCTCTTGACCGAAACTTGGCGGGCCGCGTTCCTCACCGGTGTCGCGTTGCCAAGCTATTTTAAATGCGTGACGGCGATGACGTTACGTAAGCAGGGGGAGCGGAGCCGGCACTGCCAAGAATTCAGCTTGGGGTTTGCATTTAACAGCCGTTTGAAGTCGCGGTCGGGGGTCGAACGAGGCCCTTCGTCACACCGAGATCGTTGGCGTAACGGTCAGCACGCTGGACTTTCGATCCAGAGGTCACCGATTCGATCCGATCTCCCGGTAGTGCGGCTGGAATGTTTGGGACAGTTCACGAAATCCCCACCCCCTTGCCTTTCTCCATCTAGCGGTATAAATGGGTACATTCCATTTGGAGACTTACCGGCAAGTCGCTCGTGGTGGGGTAAAGTGTGGGTACCCCTACCCAGCGTGAAAGAGTAGAACAAATGCACTTTTAAGAGGGAAGTTTTCCAGAGCTCCCTCTAGCAGAGGGCCCTTTCTGTCAACAGTGGCGCGAGTAGGATATTTCACGGCTGCACTTCTATCTTCTTTCAACGATGAAACAAGTAGTACCAGAGGTGACCAGGTGGGCTCGGAGATGAGAGTGCCGAACTGGCACCACTGAGGACCCTGGGTTCGACTCTGGGTTTCAATTGCCGTTGTCAAGCGTACGTGTTGGTGGTGGCTATGCATGCCTGTAATCCGGCGCTGTGGAGGCGGTGAAGCTTGGCGGATCACTGTGGGCGTCGAAAAGGGGCCTGCACCCTGGGTTGCCAGGAGTAGTCGGCACCGCAAAAATGTGGACTACACCTGTTCCATTTGTATGGGATAGAGCGTTGCCCCCTCGCACGCGCGCTTGGGTTTTCTCCAGGTGATCCGGTTTTCCTCCCATGTGTGTAAACATTCATGAATTGGCCAAAAACACCTTCATATATAGAGGACTGTAGAGTTTGCGGGGGACAGGGAGGAAATTTTTTGTCGGCACACCGAGTGCCTTTCTTGCTCGCCCACAGTTCCTCATCGCTCTTCTGAGTTGTCCTCTCTGTTGGAGAGCGAGCGAATACCGCGCGGTGGCGTGTGAAACGAGTTGAAAGTACGTTAACTATTATTTTCAACGTGCCTAATTCTCTAACAACAACACAGCGATTAACTGTGAACGACGTCCACACTGCGTCATCTTGACGAGAGCTATCGCGAGCCCAGATTATAGACGGACGGACGGAGCTAATGCGCTAACGCGTACAACCGTCGTTGCAAAGGCCGAACGTTTATCTTGTCGTGTGTAGATTTCTGTAGCGCCTTAACTCAAGGCGCTTTATAACAATGATAACATTGTGCGTGAGATTGATAGTGGTTAAATAAAGAGTGGGGTTATTCAAAGTGGTGGTGTCGTTGTTGTGGTCACGGTTAGGAGGACAGAAAGGAGTGGTTAAAATGTGGTTGGGTAGGCCTGGTCGCAGCTGGGGGGCAGGTGAGTAGCAGTAGGGGTTGTAGTCGTGATAGGGATTGGGATAGGGATATGGATAGGGGTAGTGATAGGTGTAGTGATAGGGGTTGGGGTAGGGATAGAGTTAGTGATAAGGGTAGGGGTAATGATAGGTTTAGTGATATGGGTAGTGATAGGGGTAGTGATTGGGGTAGTGATAAGGGTTGGGGTAGTAATTGGGGTAGTGATAGGGGTTGGGGTAGTGATAGGGGTTGGGGTAATGATATGGGTAGTGATAGGGGTAGTGATAGGGGTAGTGACAGGGGTAGGAATTGGGGTAGGGATTGGGGTAGTGATAGGGGTAGTGATAAGGGTAGTGATATGGGTAGTGATAGGGCTAATGATAGGGGTAGTGATAGGGCTAGTGATAGGGGTTGCGGTAAGCCTGGTCGTAGCTGGGGGGCGGGAACAGGGAGTAGCCGTTGCAGGATGGGCTAAGGGAGAAGGGATGAGGGTTGTTTTAAGGGAGGAATGGGTCATTGACTTTTGCTGTCCCCCCCCTGCCTCCCACCCCCCCATCCTCCCATTCCCCCATCCTCCCACCCCCCCCATCCTAGTGCTGCATCGATGACTTTGAGGAGGTGCTCAAGCTGCTGCTGGCGTACGGCGCCAGCGTCAACGCTGTGGACAGCGAGCTGTGGACGCCCCTGCACGCGGCCGCCACCTGTGGCCACCTGCACCTCGCCCAGCAGCTCGTCGAGCAGTGAGTGGCGGAGCCGGCGCTGAGGGCTGGCAGTGGAGAGCCTACGGCCCAAGGGCCGGATCTGGTCCACAACTGCATTGATAACGGACCACGGGACAGATAGGGCCTGTGACTTCATTCCACACGAACCATGACCTCACTTTACACGACCCATGACTTCACATCACACGGCGCATGACTTCATTCCACACAGCCCATGTTTTCATTCCACACGACCCATGACTTCACGTCACACGACCAATGACTTCAATCCACACGACCCATGACCTCATTCCACACGACCCATGACTTCCTTCTACGCGACCCATCACCTCATTCTACACGACCCGTGACTTCATTCCACAGGCCTATGTTCCCGCTCACGGCCAACACCAGTGACAATTATCTGAACCGGTCCTGGGCGCTCCCCTAGGTCAACTCGGCCTCAATTGAGTACTAAGTGCCACGAGTAGTAACGTTGCCGGGCGTGGTGCAGGAGACCCGCCCCCTCATGTGCCGTGCCGGCCTTCATAGGTGCTCGCTAACAACACTTGCCCCAACAGTCTGTTGAGGCTATACTGGGGAATGTTTGTCTTTGTATGGCAGTGGCGCGGATCTGCTGGCCGTGAACGCCGACGGGAACATGCCCTACGACATCTGCGAGGATGAGGTCACCCTCGACTACATCGAGACTGCCATGGCCTCCAAAGGTACGATGGCTGTGTCCGATGCCATTCTCTATCCGCCACCAACACCGTAAGCGGTGGCGTTTACGGTGTTGGCGGTGATTTTTCTGGTGGTGATGGAATTGCTGGTCGCGGTGTTATTGATGTTGCTAGTGGTACCTACTCAAGCACTGACCCAATTACGCATCCACTCACTTATCCACTCACTCACTCACCCACTCACTGACTCACTCACTCGCATGTTTGTACTCACCCATTCACACACTCGTGTTTGTGTGTCCCACGTGTGACCTCCACATTTCTGCCCGTTGCTGCTGCCGCTTCTGCCGATGCTGCTTCTGCTGCTGTTGCTGCTGCTGTTGTTTGCTGTTGCAGGCATCACCCAGGAGACCATCAACAGCAAGCGCTGCGCAACCGAGCTGAGCATGATCCACGACATACAGGAAGTGTCACGCAGCGGAGAGAACCTGGACGGACGCGACGAGCACGGGGCCACGCTGGTGATGACATCATACTGCCCCGTCCCCCCACTTCATATCATTATTATTTAAATGTTGTATGCATACAAAGGCACGTGTATTCTGTAAATTCCCGTTTGAACTCGCGTTTTTTGCTTTGACGCGTTTTTTTTTTCTTTACGAAACGTTTTTTTTTTCCCATGACGCGCAACCGCGGCCCCGCTGTAACGCGAGTCTAGTAACACGTGACGGACTACTTTTCTAAGTGGCATGGGCATTGGCAGCGTTGTCCGGTGATACTGGGAGCTGGCGCCGTAGTACTTAGTACTGGCACTGTAGTACTGTAACGTAGTACCGATAAGTGCTTTGATACACGTCGTACCTTCCCCCTTATTTCCTCGGCTCTTGTTCCAGCAGCATGTTTGTGTGCGCAGCGTCAACACGTAGCAACATCTATAGGAATACTGCACAAACGCAAACACATTTAAAACGGCTTACTGCAGTGTCAAATAACAACAATTAAACGACAGGCTGGATAGAATTCCCCCTCCTCCCCCCCCACCTTTGAATTTTCAGGAACGCAACCTTTGCATTGAGCGAGGACTCACCGTCCGCATCCAAAGCACTCGTATATCAAAGCGAATTTCCCCAAAAGAAATCATGGAAACTCAGATAATTCGTTCCACAACCCAAAAATATTCATGTAAAAATTATTAATACAAAATAGCTTTTTATATTTTTATTATTTAAATTTCATATAAAGTAATCAAATATATTAATTTAATTTAACAGTGGCTGGTGTGAGGGAGACGAGAGGGAGGAGAGGAGGAGGGGGTCATTGTTGCAGTACAGTTACTAAAGAACAGTCACGACACTTGGACACAAAATTTAAAAAATGCTTTACGCACACACACGTGGTCACAACACTATAGTACTGTAGTAAACAGTATACGCTCGCACGGATGTTGACTATACAAGTGAGGCACGCCGACTGAGACCGAGCATGGGAGACGATTACCCACAATCCAGCAGCGAGAGAGAGAGAAGAACCATTGGCTCAGTTGTGATCACGTGACGCTCGGCAGACAAAGCGTATACTGTACGTACTACTCGTATTGCAAGACCTCGCTCGCTCATCAAGTTAAAATTTATTTTAAAAATTTTGCTTGTCTTGCAAAACACTCGCAGACCAACTTACTCGCAATCCAAGGTTTTACTGTATATATCCTTATATGGGATGCTGCCATGGTGTAACGGTCAGCACGCTGAGCTTGCGATGCAAAGGTCCCTGGCTTCGATTCCATCTCCCGGCGTGGCGGTTTCAAACAATTGAGGCGAGTTTCTTAAACAACCCCCCCCCCCTCCCCCCGCCGCCTCTGTTCACCGAGCGGTGTCAATGGGTCGCGCCACGGTTAATCGCTGGCTTGCACAATGGGTCGGGGTTAAGTTTGGTGCCCCCACCGCTTCCAAAGGCGTCCGGCCCAGCGTGGAGGTGTAAAGGTGGTCAAATAATAAAGCTCCTCCGGAGTAGGCTGTCGATCTCCCTCTTGTGGGGGGGGAGAGGCGCCTCTCGCCAGCGGGGACCTGAAGCAAAGAGATATTGCGAGGCTTGTCTATGAGGGTATGTGTGCGTGTGTGTGGCTGCAGCAATATTGTAGCGGTTAGCGCGCTGTGCTATGAACCCGCCAACCCAAGTTCAGTTCCCGCTCACGGCCAACATCGGTGACGATTATCTGAAACGGTCCTGGGCCTCCCCCTAGGTCGACTCAGCCTCAAATGAGTACCTGGCGCGGTATGTGAACATCGCTACTGGGGAGACAAAGGCGGCCGGGCGTGGTGCTGACCACCCATCCCCTCGTGTGCCGTTCCGGCCTTCATTGGTGCGCGCTAACAGCACTTGCCCCAACAGTCTGTAAAGGCTATACGGGGGATCTTTGTCTTTGCAGCTGCACATAGCGGCAGCGCACGGATACCTGCGTGCCGCGGAGCTGCTCCTGGAGCTGGGGGTGAGCGTGGAGTGCAAGGATCGCGACGGCTGGGAGCCACTGCACGCAGCTGCGTGCTGGGGTCAGGTAGGGTCACGGTGGCTAGGAGATGTCAACCAACATCGCCTGATCGTGCAGGAGGTCGTGGGTTCGATCCCGACCCTGACGATGCCTGTTGTCTATTTGTAGTTTGCGTCTCTCTCTCTCTCCCCGTGGTCGCGTGGATTTTTCTCCGGGTCCTCCGTTTTTTGCCTCCCCAGGGGCGATGTTTACACACCGCACCAGGTACTCATTTGAGGCTGAGTCGACCTAGGGGACCCCCAGGACCGGTTCAAATAATCGCCACTGGTGTCGGCCGTGAGCGAGAATCCAACTCGGGTGGCTGGGTTCATAGCGGAGCGCGCTAACCGCTGCACCACCGCACGTAACAAAGACAAAGATCCCCCGTGTAGCCTGTAGCAGACTGTTGGGGCAAGTGCTATTAGCGAGCACCTATAAAGGCCGGCACGGCACACGAGGGAGTCGTTGGCCGCACATAACGACCACACACACGCACGCACCTGTAAAGACCGATCTACGCACGAGGGGGTGATGTGGCCAGCACCACGCCCGGCTGCTCTTGCCTCCCCCATACTGACGTTTATACACCGCACCGTGTACTAATTTAAGGCCGAGTCGACCTCAAAAATTGACCGCAAACGGTTCAAATACCACCTTGCGCATCGCTGCTGAGTGAAGCGCGCGGCCGACATTACCCGCGTGGGTTTTTTCACGGTCGTGCTGTCCAGGGGATGATGTCCGGCGTTTCGTTCCGAGCAACTGGGAGCTTCTTCAGAAACCGAACATTCGGCGATTCGCTCGACTCGTTCGCTCGCCCGTTCGTTCGCTCACTCGTTCCTTCGCACTCCCCTCCTTTCCCCGCGTCCGCAGCTGGAAATGGCCGAGGTGCTGGTGTCTCACGGAGCGAGCTTCGATGCCAAGACCTACCAAGACGAGACGCCGGTTGGTGAGTTGAGTGGGCCAGGTTTCGGTTGCGGCCCCCCCCCCCCCCCCCCCCCCAGCGGTATAGCCGCGTTCACCGCTTGTTTGCAAGGGGCGCGCGGTTCGAAGCCGGGCAGGTCGCCCTGGTCAATACGTCTGCTTCACCGGTGGACGTTCAAGGTCCCGCCGACGTGAATCGTCGAGAGTAGAGGCCGTCGCGTCCTTGCCGCCTACACAGTCCAAACTTTCGTCAAATTTGATAACCATAGCAAAAAAAAATCACACGGCAAGGTGACGCGATTGAGGTTTACAGAAACAGAATCGGAATGTTTATTTATAGTGGAGGAATACAATGAGCTATAAAGCACTCTTTCACAGATGTCCAATAGGGACGGGTAAGAAAGTTACAACAACAAGCGATACAAAAGCCCGACAATAGTGCGAATTACAAGAAAGGCAAACAAATCACCGAAAAATATACAAATGAAACTAAACCACATCCCCATCTTTACCCGGCAAAGCCCACTGAGGTTACACATCATAGCAATATCGCCGCCCTTCTCTGTGAAACCTCACGTCTCCGCGTGCCCGTGCCGCGTCTCGCACTCGCGCGCCTTTCCACCAGCAGCGGTGTCAGACAGTTATTGCAGGACTGCACCTTTTGCCGATTCGATCTCCCGGCACGCACGTTGAAATTATGGGGGAAGTTTCTTAAATTCCGCACCCCCACCTCCCACCACCTCCGTCCACAGTTAGTTGATGGTCGCATGTGGTGGGGTAGAGTTTGGGTACTCCTACCCCTTCCAAGACGTCTGCCCAGTGTGAAAGGTGAGTCCAAAATTCCCTCTATAGGAGGGGGGGGTCCTCTAGGAGTCTCCCTTCCGCCAGCAGTGGCCGTGAGCGAGTAACTGCAGGGCTGCACCTTTGACCGCATCTCGTAACGCGATGGCGCAACGCTGCTGCTGCTGCTGCTGCCCACGACAGACCTGTGCGAGGACGATGACATGCGGCAGAGGCTCGTGGACCTGAAGATGAAGAGGGACGCCATCATGAGGACCCAGGGCCACGCGAGGTCCTCGCTGCAGAGGAAGACTTCCAGCGTTGGCAGCCGGGGGTACGTGATGATGAGATTTATTTATTTTTTTACGGCGCGGTAGGGCGGCACGTTGGTAACACTCGTGAGAAGGGCCCCTGGGTTAATGTGTGGGAGGTTGGACGTTCTCCCCACTCCCCTGTTCTGCAGAATGTGTGTGTGTGTGTTATTATTGCGTGTGAGTGAGTCGGTGGGAAGCAGTAGTGCAACGGTTAGCGCGCTGCACTGTTTAACACGTAGGCTTTAGCGCGCTGCACTACGAACCTGGCGACCCAAATTCAATTCCCGCTCACAGCCAACAACAGTGACGATTATCTGAACCTGTCCTGAGCCTCCCTTTGGTCGACTCAGACTTAAATGATTACCTGGCCCGGTGTGTAAACATTGCCTTTAGGGAGACAAAGGCGACCGGGCGTGATGCTGGCCACCTATCCCCTCGTGTGCCGTGCTGGCCTTCATAGGTGCTCATTAACAGTACTTTCCCTAACAGCCTGTTTAGGCGAGACTCTTTGGTCTTGTCTGAGTGCGTAAGTACAGTATATATGAGTAGGGAGCGGTAGTGTGGCGGTTTGTGCTGCGCTACGAAACCTGGCGACCCAAGTTCGATTCCCGCCCACAACAAAAAACAGTGGCGATTATCTGAACCGGTCCTGGGCCTTTCCTAGGTCGACTCAGCCTCGTGTGTAAACGGAATCAGAATCAACATCAGAAATTGGAGAGACAATGTGGCCGGGGGCGTGGTGCTGGCCACCCACCTGAAACGTGTGCCGTGCCGGCCTTCATAGGTGCTGCTCGTTAACGGCACTTGCCCCAACAGCCTGTCCAGAGCCACGGGCGATCTCTGCCCATAATAAAGGTTTTTGTTTATGGGTTAGATCGCGTAAATATAAATGTATCATTAACCCACCAGCACCGGACACAGCCATTAGTAACGTTTTGTCACGTAAACAAGACGTGGGAGTTATTAGTTACTACTACAGCACACCGGCGTGTTGGAGAGTAAACCCGTAACGTTTACAATCTGGGTAACTGTGACGCTTCGCCGGTGACGACAACAACCACCTTCAATCGGGGATTTTTGCTAGAAGTGGGTTAACGATGCATTTACAATCAAGCGTTATACATACCGTGTCAACCCACACGGTTTACCCGTATTCTTGTTTAGGCAAATTGAGTTTTAAGGTCCATACTGCATACGGCCGTTTCAATACGTGCAAAAAAAAATTGTCTATTTGTTTGTGTTTTTCCATTGTGATGGGACTTTGTAGGTTGAACGTTGAGATTTATAAGGGGCACGGGGTGACCAATAAGGTCTGAATTGGTCTGTGATAAGGTAGGGCAACTGATAAGGGGATGACAGGTATGAGTTTCGGACAAACTCGTTGAATCCACTCGTGCGGAGTTGGCCCCGGCAGACTCGGGGGGGATGGGTTGGTGGACCAGGCCCTGCACTGCTGAGATCTTAGGTTCGAACTTCGGGGTTTCAAATTTCGCTTGGGGTCAACTCAGCCAACCATCATCATCTTTGTCGTCGTTATATCATCCGGGTGACGCCGTGGTGACTAAGGGACCGTCCATAAATGACGTAACGCACCTGGGGGGGGGGAGGGGTCAGACATTTGTGACGATGTGTGACGAGGGGGGGGGGGTTGAGAAATGTGACGTCACATCAAAATGCGCAACTTTAAATAAATATATAATTGTTATAACAACTCTAATTGTTATAACAGAGTGCAGCGCCACATTAAATACGCACTACAATGACAAGAGTTTAAAGCGTTTTAAGCATGTTTCATTTTCAAAATGGAAATATGGTTTTGGGGGGGGGGGCAGAGCTTTGTGACGTCATATTTGAGGGGGGGGGGGTCTGACTCTTTGTGACGAGGGGGTGGGGGGTCAAAAATCGTCCAAAATCGCGTGACGTCATTTATGGACGGCCCGAAAGCCCCCTTAACGAGGTTCGATTCCCGACCCGGGCGCTTCTCTCTGTGTGGAGTTGTTGAACTTCTTCCGCACCGTACGTAGCCAACCGTGTCGGCGACGTAGGCGCGGGGTTTGAGGCGACGCGATTTGGCGACGACGTCGTCGCGAAACGACGTACATCGGGGTCTTGCTGCGCATGCACATTTCAATACGGGCAACAACAAAAATTGGCTGTTTGTGTTTCTCCCTGGTGACGGGACTTTGTAGGATGAACGTTGAGACGTATAAGAGGCGCGGGGTGACCAGTAAGGTCTGAATTGGTCTGTAACGAGGTAGGCACCGATAAGGGGTTGCCAGGTATGGATCCAACCCGTGAAAAAACCCCTCCATCGTGAATAACGTGGGCGCTACGTGTGAAAGGGGGTCATCTACGTCGGGGTGATCTCCCGCCTGTTGTGCGTGCCACGCAGCAAAGTGAGCCGCCGCGTGAGCGTCAACGAACGGAGCGACCTTTACCGCCGTGAGCACCGCGAGGAGGCCACCCTGTGGATGAAGCTGGACAGCGCCGGGGTCGGCGCGCGGGCGGTGGCGGCGGCGGCGGCCGACGAAGACGAAGACGGCGCCGGGCCGCAGGCCAGACAGAGAGCGCGGCAGGTGAGGTGGCGCCGCTCATGGTGTGGGTGGCGGTGGTGGCGGGCGACGCTGGTGAGGAGCAGTCGCGCTTGGCGCTACTGCTCTACGAACCCGGCGACCCGAGTTCGATTTTCCCCGCTCACGGCCAACACCGGTGATGATTATCTGAAACGGTGCTGGGCCTCCCCTAGGTCGACTCGGCCTCAAATAAGTACCTGGTGTGGTGTGTCAACGTCGCCACTGGGGAGACGGTACTGAAAACCCAACCTCTCGTGTGCCGTGTCAGCCTTCATAGGTGCTCGCTTAACAGCACTTGCCCCAACAGACTGTTAAGGCTTTATGGCGACTCTTTGTCTTTGGTGGCGGTGATGAGAGTTGGCACAGTAGGAGGCACAGCTGGTGCATCTGCCAGTCATCTCAGTTATGCAACTCCCGGCGCCTGGGTCTGTCCCGTGACCTCCTGTCAGCGAGCCTTCAACACTTCACGTGGCCTCAGAATGCATCTGGCCTGGCACAGGCACCGTGGTGACATCACCGCCACTTCGTGGTGAAAGGCGGCTGTTGTTGATGAGAGTGCTTGTCTGGTTGTGTTGGTGAGAATGGTGATGTTGATGGTGGTGGTAACGATGTTGATAGAGTTGGTGATGGCGGGTGGTGGCAACAACGTTGACTAAAACGATGACCGGTGATTGTACTATTAATGACCATTATGGTAAAGATGATGATGATAATAATGTGGGTGACGACGATGACGGTGACGACGATGAAATGGATGACGACAATCGTGGCAATAGCGGCAGCGGTGACAACCGCGCCGGCGTTAACCAATATTGTCGGTCAACATGGCGGTCAAAGTCACGACGAGGATAACGGTGACCGATGGAGATCATGGGTGCCACCCGACCTTGACGCCTGCTGTATATTTGGAGTTTGCAGTGTCTCTCTCTCTCTCTCCGCGTGAGCGTGTGGATTTTTCTCCGGGTCCCCCGGTGTTTCCCTCCACATTTAGAATCGACATCACGCGTTTAGAGTATTTCGGCTGCTATATATTTCCACGTGATGATGAGCCACTTCGTTGAGCTATCATTTGTGGCCAGGTCCCTTCTGAAAAAGAGCCACATGGCTCAGTGGGCCTTACCTGGTAAAATAAAAAAATAGTTTAAGCAGTTAGTTCGATGACGACGTTGACGATTAACTTATATGCCGCGCAGAACGGGGGACTCGCCGAGGCCCCTAGCCGCAACGCCGCTCCGCACAAATCCGGCAGAGCCCCCAAACCGCCGCACCAAGCGGCCTCCGTGTGCCCCCCGCGGGCCTCCGGGCAGCCGCACGCCACCGCCTCGACGTCGTCGGCGGCGGCGGTGACGGCGGCGGTGGCGGCGGCAGCCGCGGTGGCAACCGGCGCCGCCCGCGTCCCGGCGTTCCTCGACGACGCCGTCGCGGTCGCCGCCGCCGAGCCCGCGGCGCTCCACCGCACGCCGTCGTACGTCGACACGCTGCGCAGGCGCGCAGGCAACTCTGGGCTGGCCCATCACTCCACGTCGTCGCTGCACCATCACCACCACCATCACCACCACCATCAGCACCAGCAACAGCAGCAGCAGCAGCAGCACGAACAGGAATCGTCCACCTCTGACGGTCACCTGACCAACCTCTCGTCACCCGACGAAGTGAACCTTTCGTTGGACTCTCCGACGCCGCCCGCTAGTCTCTCCCCTCCTTCGGCTGGCGGCGGCGGCGGCGGCAGCGAAGCAACCGTGGTGGAGGCGGAGCCGGCCATGAGCCGGGCTCGCTCACGGCAGACGCTCGCCGAGCTCAAGCGGCAGCGTGCGGCGGCGATGCTGCGCGGGAGGGCGCTGTCCCTCGAGGGGCTCGCCCTCTCGCTGCTGCCGTCGGCTGCCGGCAGAACGTTGGCCGTCAACGGGGGACTGCCCGTCGTTCCGGAGGAGGCATCGGCCGCAGGAGGGCGAGGAGGAGGAGAAGTCGCGCCGCGTCTCGCCGCGTCTTACACTTCGTTGACGGCGACGCCGCCGCAGCACGACCCGCCGCTCGTCAAGTTCCGCTCGATGAACTCGCTGGACATCGTCGGAGAGGCGAGGAACACGCGGTGCTGTGTCGTGATGTGACGACGGATGTGGCGATGACGACCGCGACCGATAACACCCGGATTGGTCTCGTGGCCCCTTGCCAGCAGAGAGCAAGCCTTCCGCGCTTACACACGTTGGCCTCAAAGTGCACACTCGCCGGGTGCTTGCATTGTGGTGACATCACCACCACGTGGTGGTGAATAGGGGATGCTGCTGCTGCTGCTGCTGTTATCAACAGCAACAACAGGGGGCATAATTGGCAGTAGCAGCCACGGTATTGAGTCGCATGCAGGGGCGGAGCCAGGATTTTCAGCCCGGGGTGACATTCAACAAATTTTAATTTCAAGAATGGTTAGAGAGTCAGGCTGTTGAACTAGACGCCACCGGTTGGCGACACGCTCTGACAATGCAGTTGCACGGAGTGCGCCAGACCGAGTGTCGTACACTTACACGCAGAATGTTTCAGATTTTCGATTTTTAATTTTTTTTCGGGGGTGACAATTGTCTACCCTGTCACCCCCCTGGCTCCGCCCCTGGTCGCATGCATGTATGTATGCTGTTTGTTTGCTGGCCGCCTGGTGTTTTTCGGGCCTTTTGGGCCTCGGTTCGGCAACCGTAATATAATATAATATAAAAAATAAAACGCCCAAAAAGTCTTAAGCATGCTGTGAAAACCCTAACTGGAGGAACACAAAAGTCACAAACCTGAAGGAGCCAAGAGGTTGGCTTTGTAATTTGAGCGACCGCTTTGCAAACGGTTGCGTTTTATACTGTAATTCAAAGTGGTGCCGTGTGAGCTCGACATTGAAATATCGTTATTTTCCAACGGTTTAATTTTGCTTTTTATTTAGGATCGTTAACTCGGACGGAGCCTGCAAATGCGCGATATCTCTTAATTTGTATCGTCTCCAAATGCGGTTGCAATCGAACACTTTCATAATCCCTGGTCGTGTCGTCGTGCTATCAACGGTGGAACCTTTCCCCCTGCGGACGAAACTATTTAGCGGGATGTTTTGTCTTCACGTAAGAAACTGTTGCGGCCCTTCCCGTGGAAAATAGTAGAACCAGAAAACCCCGAACTTAGACGTCGTCACATTTTTTTTTTCGACAGCCCAGCGCGCGCCCTCGTGCGATTACTTCCTCTGTAAGTAATCTCGCGACTCGATCAAATCGCCCGCGACTGCTTTTTCCGCACCCGGGGCAAGCGGCCGCGCGGCCGAGCGAACTGAAACGGAGCGTTCAGGATCGCAGCTTGCAGCGCGTAACGAAACCCGTCGGAATACAAATTATCCCCCAACGGGTTTCGGTCGACGCTCGATGGTGGAGTCCCGTCTCCACTGAGGGCAAAGCCGGTTTGCGCAGGTGCAAGTGACGTCCACGTACAAACGATTTGGGTTGTGCGCAACCAGGTTGCGCAGCTGATCGCTTGGGTGTGGAGGTGTACGATGTGGCGTTGGTTTTCGCGGTTGTGTGTTGTTGGGTTGTACCGCGTGTTAAGGGGCGCCACGGTGGCGAGATGTTAACTACCTCGCCTGGTATACAGGAGTATGATCCCGACCCTGACACCTGGGTATATTTGGAGTTTGCGTGTTTCTCTCCCCGTGGTCGCGTGGATTTCTCTCCTGGTCCTCCGTTTTTTTTCCCCTCCACATTTAGAATGAACGTCACGCGTTTAAGAGTATTTGGCCAATTTCCACGCGATGATGATAAGCCCACTTCGTTGAGCTATCCTTTGTGGCCAGGTCGCTTCTGAAAAAGAGTCACGTAGCTCAGTTGGGGCCCTCCGGAGAAAAACAATCCACCCGGTATTAACCAGGGCAGCGGCCGCTGGGTTCGAAACCGCGACACCTCTGCGACCTCTGCGACAAGTGGGCAAACTCGCTCTCGCTAGCCGCCGCCGGGCCCCGTCGTTGCCGCCCCCCCTCCCAACATGCACCGCTCCACGCGCTCGAAACTCCTGCGATGGAGGGTCAGTTCGCTTCTACTGTGAAGTTGCAAACGCGCATCGTGGCAAGATATCCATAAAACAGTTTTAACACGTAGTAGTAGGGCTTTCGCGACCAATGTTATATCCATAATAAGGTTTTTTTTTGGATTAGACCGCCACCACCTGTGAAAAAAAAGGTGCCAATTAGTTACTGCTTCAGCACTAACCTGTCTGTTGAGGACTAAACCCACAACATTTACTATTAGAGTTTGACGTTTCGCTGGTGATTGCAACCAGCCTCATCGGCGAAACGAGGGACTCCTTCGCAGCTCTCACTAATCGGTTTAACGACACATTTATATTTACCCGATCTAATCCAAAATAACTTTTATTATGGATATCCAGAAACACCGAGTGACCGATAAGCAATATCCAGCAAACACCTTAAATCCCTGAAATCTGACACGGCGAATGTAGCATTTTATCAACTCCCAAAGAGTTGGAACAGAGTTTGCGAAACGTTTTAGATCGTTCTCGAAGGTCGATTGTCTCTCGCTTCAAAGATAATCATCGCAACGTGAAGCGTTTACCCACGAAGGCCTCGCTGATTCTCAGTCCTCTCTTTATTGGGTGATGGGGGGGGTGGGGCGGGGAAGGGGGGTGTGGGGGGTTAGGGGGGGTTGGAGGGGGGGGATGTCTCGCTTGGGAATTTTAATATTCCAATATTAGCTATGACGATGGTAATAACGTTAGCGCAAAAGCGCCCGGAGGACTGAGGACACTCGTGCGTACTAAAGAGCACTAAAACTACGCCGTGCTGTCTGAGCCCTTAACCTACTTGCTGTAACCGCCCTTTGCATACCATCGTCATCGTCATCTCCCGATTTTGCGACAAATCGGCAATTCTGAAAGCTCATACCTTCGCGAGTCACCAACCCCGCCCACCTACCTTGACAACCGTACGCACACGTACAGCCCTCTGTCCACTGGATAGAGGTCCTCTGCACACTGTGTGGGTCGTGGGAGGGTCGTTTGACTATATTTCGCCACGCCGGTCAGTGCGGGTTTTTACCGGCTGCAGTCCTCGGCGAGACGGGATGTGCCGGCGTTGAGCCGTGCTGGGTTTTTTTTTTTTTGTTCCCCCGAAGCCGGGCACGCAAACGTTCGATCGATGCCCTTGGTTGACGCGCGGCAAATTCACTTTCACGATCAGCGCCGCCGGTATTCGCGCCGCCATTATCAGTGCAAGCCTATCGCGGCTTAAAGTCCGCCAGTAGGGAGCAACGGTGGCTGTGCGTAATCCCAATCGAGTGTGCATTTACGGGTAGTTAAACCTAACGAAACAATTAGCATATTTGGGCCGTAGAGACAGTGGCGCGCGACAGTGGCCCCGCTCCGTGAAACAGCGGGCGCGCGCGGGTACGGTCGATACGCGCCAACCGCCGCGGTATTAACCAGGGCGGGCGCTCGCTTCAAACCGCGGAAAACCCCTGCCACCGGGCCGCGTCACCGCAAGCCGGGTCTCTGACCGTCGCACCTGTAACCTTGGCGGCTCGATTTTGTGAGTATTTTATTTGTTCTTCTAACGTGTGAAGTCGTTTTCAGCGAAACGTCGCCGGGGCGGCGGCGGCGGCGGCGAGGGTTTCGTCCGTCGTTTGCGAAACACACCCCGCCGTGGTTATTCCGTCCGCTAGTTTTGTTTCGACAGATTTTTACCCCCTGATGTGAGGGCGGGGGGCGGGGAGGGTGGGCTAACTCCGCCACCACTTAAAGCCCGTAACTTATACACTGGATTTTGTTGTTGTATTTATTGTCGCACGCTTTCATTCTCGGGCGGAACTTTTCCGTCGAGTGCAATTTTGTAAAAGCGACGGCGGTGGGAGCGGGAATGATAAAAGCGATCACCCGCGAGAGCTCCAACGGGGCACGCGCTCCGGCTGCTGTGAATTCATGGTGGAGCAAAAAAAAAGTCACTCTCTCTCTCTCCGCATTCTCCAGATTTTGAGACGCCCCAGAAAGTAGGACGCACCCCACCCAAATCCTGGTCACACGCAACAACGGCGACGACATTACAGATAAGTGGCGGTGTGACGTCACCGCGCCACTTGTGCCAGGCTAGGTGCACTTTGAGGCCGTCGCGTGGAGCGTCGAAAGGCTACGCACCACTGCCAGGAGGTCACGGGACAGACTCAGGTGTTATGGGATGACGGACTTGAGATGACTGACAGATGCACCGCACGTGCTCCCCACTGTGCCAACAATGAATGGGCGAAGACAAACGATCCCCCTCCGTATAGCCTTTAACAGACTGTCGGGGCAAGTGCTGTCAGCGAGCACCTATGAAGGCTGGAACAGTACACGAGGGGTGGGTGGCCATCACCACGGTTCCTCACACTAACACATTAACACGCACACACACAGCTACCGGATTATAGATGCACCTCATACTTTTGCTTCAAAATACTGGAGAATACGGTAATGTGTTTTGCCTTCTGTAGCATTTCTGTGAAATCTCAATGTTTTCTTTTTTGGGGGGGGGGGGGGTTGTTTTGTCCCCCGCCCCTCTTATTTCGAATGTTGCTATCGGCGTTGTGTTTGTGGGGTGAGTGTTTATTGAAACCCCATTCGGAGCTCTCGCGAGTGAGCAGTGCACCACCTTGAATAAGCGAATTGCCTTCTTGGTAGTAGTTATAATTGTTGTTTCTGACAGGGCGCCATTTACGGCGTGGCAACTCGAGAGAGCGCGTTCAGACGCGGCTAAGCGACTCTCATCTCACCGCATCTCACCGCATCTCACCGCATCTCACCGCATCTCACCGCATCCGAGAGGGGTACCCCCCCCACCTCCCTCCCGGTGGCAGCTATCCCTGTGCAGCACAAGGCGACTCGGCACCTGCCTTTAGGAAGCAGGGGGCACGAGGATTACGCAGGGCAATCATCGCTTCCACCACCCCCCTACTGGCATAGGCTGGCAGTCCGGGGGTGCTGGGCACGGTGATTGCTGTGCGTTTCCCAGTCGAGTCGATTGCAGGCGATTTTGTGAAAATACGGCAAGCGTGAACCACGCCGACGCCTACGGCAAACGATGGCCGGCCCGTCGGTGGACGTGCGCCGTACTTTTTGGGCCGGTTGACGCTCGCCGCCGCAGTAACGTACCGGCGTCAGCGTCGCCTCGTTTTTCCGCGAGGCCGCCAAGTCGAGTCCCCTCCTCCATCCCGCGGCGGGGCTTTCTAAGGGGGTCGCGCGGGACATGACCGTTATGAACGAATTGTCGCGCGAATGCAACGTGACGCTAAATTCCAATTTCGCTCGGTGTGACTTGCGTTCGCCGGTGCAGTGTTCGTGCCTTAAGCGTTCAATGGTAACCCGTTAGGAAGGTAGGTTTTTTTTTTGAAAGTTTTGTCTTAAGAATTTTTCACAAAACGTGTGACGGTGCGAACGCTTTTCGCCTCTTGACTCGCCAGACAATCGCAGTCGCTGTTCGTTGTTTTTTTTGGGCAATAATTTTTTCCCCGCGATTACCACCACCGCGTTCGACGCCGTGGTCGTGCTGCCGTACCGCCCTCCGACGTTATTTCCCCCCCCCCACCGGTCGTGCCGCTCTGCGTTCTGCTCGATGTTTCACTTCGCGAAACGTTGGACATCGTGCCGAACAACGACAACAATGACGACAACACGTGGCACTGCCCGAAGGCACAAATGAGAGCTAACAGTGACGGGAGTGATCGCTCTGTTACCCAGCAAACCCTCGACTTGAGTCTCGAGACGCATATTCAAGAGGGTCCTGCTGCAGGGTGTTTTTTAGCCAGTTTGATGGCATCCGTATTAATCGTGGGAGGAAACTGAAGGTAAAACACACACTCGACCTCCTCACAGATAGGTCTGGATCCAGCTTGCTGTGCAGCCTACTGCTGCCACATCTTAGCAATGAGGGTATATAGCTCTCGCACACACGCAGTGGCCGTTTGACCGAATCGGATCGCCGAACCCAAGCAGGCTGGCGCCTGGATAGCGCACGGATAGGCGACCACCGTTGCACCGATAGCAGGGCAGCCAAATCCATCGTTGTACTGTACCACACTCTATGTTCCCGCGTCTTACACGCCGCGCACTTTCACCGACCGGTGCGGTGAAGTATGGTCCAATAACCCCCTCTGCCAGGGACCGCACGGCGTCGGAAGGAGGCCCTCATCCAGCAGTGGATTGATAGAGGCTGCACAGTACTTGTGTACTCAATGGCTTGTCAGCGTGTTCCCACCATTCGTTTCTTCCAAGCGAATAAATTACGCAAATTTGTCCATTGTTTTTGTCTTAAACATTCCCTATCTTTTTTTTAAAGAAAAAAATGCAATAAATGTTTTGGCTCTTGCCGAAAAAAGCGGTCCGTTGACGCGAATGTTATTTCGTAGCTTTTTAATGTTCAGTAGGAAATGTATATACAAAAAAATAAACGAATATCGCCGCTATATTTTGGGAAAAGATGATTTCACTAACTTGAGAGAGGGGGGGGGGGAACACACAAATCGTGTAAACGAGTTGACATTGTAGGTACTAGTCATTGTGACTGACATAGTTTCTTCTAAGCTGTTTAAAAAAAATACCACACGTGTCGCGTGAGTTGTAAACATTGCATCTTGCCTCGGATTGTTTAAATGCATCCCCAGGAGGAGTGGGGTGGGGGTGTTTAGTTTCTCGCACTGAATGTGCGTTCTGATTGTTTGACTACTGCTGCGTTGGCAGTGGTGGACAAGCACGGGTAAACAACAACAACAACTCAACACGTTCGTCAATAAAACTGTCCTTTTAACAAAAATGTAAAAAATGTTTATAGTCGGTGACGTTTTGGACCTTTTGATCAATAAAATATTTTGTGCTCAGAAGTGTCACTGCCCCGAAACGTTGCCTGTATTTTTTTCCTTTTAAAGCCACACACACACACACGAGTGTTACTTTTTAACACGCAGGCTTTCGCAACCAATATCATCCATAATGCAGCCTTTTTTGGGGTTACATCTCGTAAATATATAAATGTGCCGTTAAACTCAACACTACCCGACAGCCAATTGGTAAGGTTTGTCACGTAAACATGTGTTTACGTATCACGTAAACAGGACTGCCATGTTCTGTGGCGGGTTTAACGCCACATGCGATATAGCCCCAAAAAAACCCTGTATTATGGAAGTGTTATTATTCACGAATGTGTTGTGGGTTTTTTATTTTTTTCCGGGTCGCTGGTCGACAAGGGACTCGAGTAGGTGGCACGTGACTTAGTATGAGCCACAGCCATCGCGAGAAGGTTGATATACTGGATGTGGTGGGCTGCATGTGGAAAATATTTACGGAGTCGCTAAACCGGACAGACGGAGACCCGGCTGAAGTTAAGCCCCGTGGGGATGCAAGTTTAAAATAAATTGTTTGGTTGTCGTAAAATAAAAGAAAATTAATTACATTTGATGGAACTTTGAACATTAAATCTTTGATTGGTTGTTTTTTTTGCAACACTGAGTAAATATATTTAATTCTTCATTTATATTAAACTATTGACAACTTAAAACTATAATAATCTGGCCGCTGTCACGAATTCAATTTACAGCCCGAAATTCCGCGACAACCGAAAATATTTTTATTTGGTGGTGTAAAAAAAGCAGCTGTGAATTTTTTGACAATACCGCCGTTTATTGCGAAAAGTCTTACGATTGTAGCCTCATGCACTTGATTTAATTAATCTTTCACGCATTCGACCATTAAACTGTTGACACCAGCGTACACACACGTGTACTTGGCATGTTACACACATCGCAATTCAGTTTATTTTTCGTCGACTTCTGAGCTCTATCGCTGCCACCATGGTCAGTGAATGTTCCCACAAACGGCGCTCATTGGCTACTCCCTCCATGTTGAGGACTGTCAACCAGACACTGCCTGTTCCATCTTCACCACACTGCACGTCACAACAACACTTGGTGACTCACCCCTCCTCACCAAACAACACCCACCCCACCCATTCTCACCAACCCACTCACCCCTCCTCACCAAATAACACCCACCCCACCCATTCTCACCAACCCACTCACCCCTCCTCACCAAATAATACCCACCCCACCTCTTCTCACCAACCCGCTCACCCCTCCTCACCAACCCACCCGCCCCTCCCCTCCTCACCAACCCACTCACCTCACCAACCCACCCCTTCTCACCAACCCACTCACCCCTCCTCACCAACCCACCCACCCCTCCTCACCAACCCACTCACCTCACCAACCCACCCCTTCTCACCAACCCACCCCTCCTCACCAACCCACCCCTCCTCACCAACCCACCCACCCCACCCCTTCTCACCAACCCACCCGCCCCACCCCTCCTCACCAACCCACCCACCCACCCCACCCACTCATTCACCGCAAATACAAAGATCCTCCATATATCCTTAACAGACTGTCGGGGCAAGTGCTGTTAGCGAGTAGCACCTATGAAGGCCGACACGGCGCACGAGGGGGTGGGTGGCCAGCACCACGCCCGGCCGCCTTTGTCTCCCTAGTGGCAATGTTAACACACCGCACCCAGGTACTCATTTGAGGCTGAGACGACCTAGGGGGAGGCCCAGGACCGGTTTCAGATAATCGTCACCGGGTGTTGGCCGTGAACGGGAATCGAACTCGGACGGCTGCACTACCGCTCCCCGCTCAAGTGACGGTGTCGTCACCACGGCGCTCGTGCCAGGCTAGGTGCACTTTTTCAGGTCACCAACCAATCACCATCGTCGTGACGTCATGGAACCGTTCCCTCCGGGGCCTCGTGGCGGTGACGTCAGCGCCAACTCGGAAACGGAGTCACGTGGCCACATCCAAAAAATCACTTCCCTTTTGGACTGAAAGCTGCAGCAAGTTAAAATTTCACGAACGCAGCCGCAGTTTTAAACACACACGCTTAAGTCTCACGCGTTGTTGTTATTTTTTTTGTTTTCAAATATTGTTATTTTGTTGATTTATTTCGGCTTTTTTTGTGTGTGTGTATATATATACAGAGAGACCGTTTAGTCCAGGATGGCTTACCATCAGCAGTACGCGCAACCCGGTGGAGCATTTGCGGGGGTTGCAGATCAGAGTTTCCTGTGGACCATGTTCCAGAGGTGAGGTTGGCTTTCACCTCCTGGTGAACACGTGTGGAGTTAAAAAAAAACATGTTTTTATACGTATATAGAGATACTCTTGTTTTTAATTGTGAGATTCTCGTTTGTTGGGATGGTGGTGGTGGTGATGGTGATGATGAGGATGGTGATGGCAGCCGGTGTAGGATGGACGTATCTGGCACGCACCTCCCGATTCGCACGGATGGCTGCGTACGGTGCGGAAGAAGTTCCGCATACACAGAGACCCACAGACACCCAGACCCATAGAGGCCCATAGATTAGCGCGGTTGGCTACGTACGGTGCGAAAGAAGTTCGACATACACGGAGCGTGGAGGCCCGGTGGATGGATTGTGTTTAACATCGCGGGATCGTGAAAGGGGATCGTTTTCATCCAACAGCGGATAGACCACGTCTGCAGCTGATGACGATGATGTTAGAATCTGGTGTCAGTCGTGTGATTCAATCGTCGTTGGTATACGCATCGTCATCATTTCAGCTTCTGTCATTGTCATGAAGGGCATCAGCAGCAGTGCAATCGTCAGCAGCAGTGCACTCATCAGCAGCAGTGCCATCATCAGCAGTGGCATCATCAGCAGCAGCAGTGCAATCGTCAGCAGCAGTGCAATCATCAGCAGCAGTGCCATCATCAGCAGTGGCATCATCAGCAGCAGCAGTGCAATCGTCAGCAGCAGTGCAATCATCAGCAGCAGTGCAATCATCAGCAGCAGTGCAATCATCAGCAGCAGCACATCATCGTTATTGGCATTTTAAAAAAACCTTCATCACCCGCAGTAGAGAGAATAGTGTACAGGCGTGTACCTTACTGTATATGCATGTAGCATGCTGTTGGTATGTACTGTATGTGTAAGTACGTGCTGTAGGTATGTGTGGATACACCAAATGCTGTAGGTATGTACTGTATGTGTAAGTACGTGCTGTAGGTATGTGTAGATACACCACATGCTGTAGGTATGTACTGTATGTGTAAGTACATGCTGTAGGTATGTGTAGATGCAGCACATGCTGTAGGTATGTACTGTATGTGTAAGTACGTGCTGTAGGTATGTGTAGATACACCACATGCTGTAGGTATGTACTGTATGTGTAAGTACGTGCTGTAGGTATGTGTAGATACAGCACATGCTGTAGGTATGTACTGTATGTTTAAGTACGTGCTGTAGGTATGTGTAGATACATCACATGCTGTTGGTATGTACTGTATGTGTAAGTACGTGCTGTAGGTATGTGTAGATACTTCACATGCTGTTGTTATGTACTGTATGTTTAAGTACATGCTGTAGGTATGTGTAGATACAGCACATGCTGTTGGTATGTACCGTATGTGTAAGTACGTGCTGTAGGTATGTGTAGATACATCACATGCTGTTGGTATGTACAGCATGTATAGGTACATGCTGTTGGTATGTGTTAGTAGGTACAGTATGTGTAGGTACATGCTGTCTGTATGTACCTGTAGGTATGTGTACTGCACGTGCAGGTGTGTGTGTGTACGTGAATTAGCAGGTCAAGTAATCGGTATTTGGTAATAAGTAAATGAACATCTGGTAAATGAGCGTGATTTTACCGAAAGAACCAAAGATTATGGATCATTGCAGTCACGAAAACGTCACATCCAGAATTAAATGAACATCCTCTATGTTTGAGTAGTATTATAAGATCAGGGGCCAGTGTTGTATACACGTCTAGCGATTGTTGCGTGTGCAAGGCTACCTCGACGCAGGCCTGACATTTTTCTGTCACTCAGGCCACTGCTGGCGGCAAGGGGGGTGTTTTGGCCTACTCTTCCACGTTCTTGCCAGGCGTCTTGAACAGGAGGTGGCAGGGGAGTTACGCCCGCGGCCTTCGCCCCACCACCATCAACCTCACTGGTTGGACTGAATGTTGATTTTTGAAGCTTTCGTGACTGCAGGAAATCCTTACTCTTTGGTTTCTTTCGGTAAAGTCACGTAGGTATGAAATAAAAAAATAAATCACGACGTTTCGGGCGCAGCACAAGTGTCCATCATCAGGTGGGAAAGCATCGGCCTGCTGCTGAGGCAGACTCAGCAGTGGCCGGGGCTAGTGATGTTAATGTGAGAAATTAGCATGTAAGATAGGAGGCCGCTCCTCCCATCTTACAGTTACACGCTAATTTCTCACATTAACATCATGCTAATTTCTCACATTAACATAGCCACTTCCGTGCCCTCGTGGAAGAGGCCGCTCTCCTCCTATCTTACAGTTACACGCTAATTTCTCACATTAACATCGCTCGCACCGGCCACTTCTTTATGACCCTTGGGCTACAGCCATTGCACGCCTTTTAAAAACCTGTCTGCCTCAGCAGCAGGCCGACGCTCTCCCACCTGATGACGGAACGCTTGTGTTGCGCCTACTACGTGACTTTACCGAAAGAACCAAAGAGTATGGTTGGACAGAGGCGGCGGGGGGAGTGGGGGCGATTTGAGACGGTGCGCAAGGATGGTTTTTCAGCTGCCGCGCCTGGAGGTAGTGCTTCCTGCAAGGTGGTGCAGTGGCGAGGGGGTGAGCGGCATACGGAGCCTGCAGGGCCACAGGTTCCATCTTCCCCGAGGGAGATCGTTGACACTGGAATGCTGCGTGGTTTGTTGTGTTGTTGGTTTATGCTTGTTGTGTTGTTGGTGTATTTATGCTTGTTGTGTTGTTGTTTATGCTAGTTGTGTTGTTGTTTATGCTAGTTGCGTTGTTTTTATGCTAGTTGTGTTGTTTTTATGCTAGTTGTGTTGTTGGATTTTTTTCGTCCCAGAGTCGATAAAGACCGGAGTGGAGCCATTTCTGCAAATGAACTTCAGCAAGCTCTGAGCAATGGTGACTCGGCCACACACACACCCACACACGCCCACACACACCCCCACACACACACATCCACACACACCCCCACACACACACATCCACACACACACACATCCACACACACCCACACACACACATCCACACACACACACCCACACACACACATCCACACACACACACCCACACACGCCCACACACGCCCACACACGCCCACACACACACACAGACACACACCCACACACACACCCACACACCCACACAAAGACAAAGATCCCCCGTATAGCCTTAACAGACTGTAGGGGCAAGTGCTGTTAGCGAGCACCTATGAAGGCCGGAACGGTACACGAGGGGGGTGGGTGGCCAGCACCACGCCCGACCGCCTTTGTCTCCCTAGTGGTGATGTTTACACACCGCACCAGGTACTCATTTGAGGCTGAGTCGACCTAGGGGAGGCCCGGGACCGGTTCAGATAATCGTCACTGGTGTTGGCCGTGAGCGGGAATCGAACCCGGGTCGCCAGGCTCATAGCGCAGCGCGCTAACCGCTACACTATCGCTCCCCACGACACACCCACACACACACACACCCCCACACACACACACCCACACACACACACCCACACACACCCACACACACCCACGCACACCCACACCCCCACACACACACACCCACACACGCCCACACACACCCACGCACACCCACGCACACCCACACACACAACAACAACCGCCATTCGCCACTAAGTGGCGGTGACGTCACCACGACGCTTGTGCCAGGCTATGTGGACCCTGAGGCCACGTGAAGTGTCAAACGCCCGCTGGCAGGAGGTCACGGGGCAGACCCAGGTGCCACGGGTCGACTGACTGAGATGACTGGCTGATGCACCACCTGTGCCCCCTACTGTGCCAACCTGCTGTGCTTTAGCCACCCGGCGCTCCGCTCGTTGTTCTGAGCGTCGCTCCTCCGCCCTCCGTTGTTGTTGGAGGGCGACTGCCTCCAACTGCCCAGTAGCATCCTTCACGAGCCTCCTCCACAGAGGCCGATCTTGACACCGCTGGTACCAGTCATCGGCAAGTCCACTCAGCTCCACGTCCTCCTGTACCACATCACTCCATCTCTTCTCTAGCCCGTGCCGCGCCCGCTTAGCCCCCTCAATCCGGCCAAACAAAAGCTGTTTCGGCATGCGGTGGCTGGGCATGCGGGCTACATGACCCAGCCATCGCAGCCTTGCCTGCCGGAGGAGCTCACCGATGGGACCCTGCCCAGATCTTTCAAGGATTTGTGAGCTCCTCACACAATCCAGTCTGGTTAAACCCAGGATGGATCGTAGGCAGGCCAGCCTAAATGTTTCTAACCGGCGAAGATGTTCCATTAGGGGGGTCCACGTTTCGCAAGCGTAGAGAAGGGAGGGAATGACCGTGGCCGAGAAGACCTGAAGCTTAGTGCGGAGCGACAGACCAGGTAGCTTCCACACAGCGTTACGCAAACCGATGAAAAGATATTGCCGCTCGACTGATTCGGAGTGAGACCTCTGCTGTTAAACTGGAGCCAGTCATAAGCACACTGCCCAGGTATGGGAAACTCTCCACTCTCTCCACAACTGCCCCATCACCGATTGGGAGTTGTGGGGGTGGAGTGTCCGATGGTACAAAATACCCAGGCAGGTGCTTAGTTTTGGTGGGGCTGATGGTAAGGCCCCACCTCTTAGTGGCACGCTCCAGTCTCAGCAGCAGCGTCTCCAACTCCTCCTCTGACTGAGCAGCTATTACCAAGTCATCAGCATACATAACGTGGTTGAGCAATAGGGAGCCATCCCTTGACCGCACCCGGGCATCGATTAGCCTCCCATTATATCTGTACCATATGGAGATTCCCCCGGTACAGCTATTGAAGGCTTCACGAACTACGTGGTCAAAATAGATGTTAAATAATGTGGGAGCCAGAGGACATCCCTGTCGCACCCCAAGGTGTACAGGGAATGGCTCTGACTCCCGGCCACGTAGTTTTACCCGGGCCCGCTCACCATCATGAAGGTCCTTAATGATCGTGAGCAGAGGGTCAGGTACTCCAAAAGCACGAAGAACGACCCAGAGCCCAGGCCTACTGATGGTATCGTAGGCCTTGACCAGGTCAATAAAGCAGAGATGTAGGTCTTGTTGGAATTCCCTACACCTCTGCTGTAGCAGACGGACAGAAAATATGGCATCTGTGCAGGACCGCCCTTTCCTGAAACCGCATTGGGGCTCCGCAAGCCTCTCCTCAGCGTGCCTGGCAAGGCGATGCTGAATAATCCTTGCCAGGACCTTTCCCGGCACACTGAGGAGTGAGATGCCCCTGTAGTTGTTACAGTCTGTGCGGTCCCCCTTCTTAAAAAGGGGGACCACCAGGGCATCCTTCCAATCCTGCGGAACCCGTCCAGTGGTCCAGACTGTTGTTATGATGTCATATAGGGCAGTCTGTGCACAAACGCCACCCTCCCTCAGCATTTCGCTTGGGAGATCATCTCTGCCCGCTGCCTTTCCTGGTCTCAGACTCCGGATCGCCTTCAATACTTCCTCAGCAGATGGCACCTCAGCCAGCCACTCACAGGGGGTGACTTCATCCAATATTTGAGGCACCGCAGCCTCAGCAGGGTCATCCTCACTTTGTGCCACGATGTTTTCCTGGCTGAGGGATTTTCCCTCCCCCAGGACCTCACAGAAATGCTCAGCAAATCTGCGAACCTGTTCCTGGGGGTCGGAAATTGGATCACCGTTTTGTCCCCTAATGATGGTAATAGGTGTGGCGCTGCAGGTTACTTTTTTGATGGAGTTAAATAGAGATTTGTGATCACGGGCCACTGAGGCAGACTCCATCTCCTCAGCAACCCGCGACCACCACCCATCCTTGCAGCGCCTCACGGCTCTCCGAACCTCCGAGCGAAGGCTGCGGTAAGCCTCCTCATTCTCTGACGTGGGATTCTGTAGCCGATGACAGTGGGCCTGTCGCTTTTTCTCAACCATCGTGAACAACTCCTCTGTCATCCAGGGTGTCTGGGGAGGTCTGGACCGCGTACCCAAAGCAGCCATTGCAGCTGCATGAGTCACAGTCCTAAACCTCGCCCATTTACCCTCGACATCAGGAGGAGTCGGGGACGATGCCAATCCCAGCCACAAGCGATGATGAAATTCTCGCTTGCAACTTTCATCAGATAACTGAGACCAGGCCACTTTAGGTTGGAATGGGGTCCTGGGTGTACACCCACCACCGGAGTGGAAGAATGGCAGGCGCATCTTACAGATGACTAGTCGATGGTCAGAGGGCAGATCAGCTCCACGGTAGGTCCTGGTGTCAAGGACATGGGCTCGCATTCGCTGGTCCGTCACTATGTAGTCCAGCAGATGTTCTTGCTTGGACCCGGCATGCATCCATGATGTTGTGTGGATGCGCCGATGCCGGAACAGCGTGTTGGTAATTACAAGCCCATGGGCTGCACAAAAATCTAGCAGCCTCCTACCGTTGTTATTGAGCTGATCTGGCCCATGCCCTCCAATCACTCCAGACCAGGTGCCAGTATCATGACCAACTCGGGCATTGAAGTCACCCAACATGATGACTCTATCCCGAGGGGCCACTTTAGCCAGCACCTGTGACAGGAGGTCATAGAAGGCATCTGACTCATCGGCTTTGCCTGCATCCCTCCACGGATGTTCATCTTCGGTGGGGGCATAAGTAACCACGACCACCATTCCTCGCCTCCGGTTGATGGGAAGGCGAGCCCAAAGTAGCCTGGGGCTTACAGCTTCCCACACCTCACCGCCACGCTCCCACGCCCCCTTCCCACACACACACACACACCCACCCACACACACCCACACACACACACACACACACCCACACACCCACACACACACACACCCACACACACACACACCCACACACCCACACACACACACACCCACACACACACACACCCACACACATCCACACACACACACCCACACACACACACCCACACACACACCCACACAAAGATAAAAGACAAAGATCCCCCGTATAGCCTTAACAGACTGTAGGGGCAAGTGCTGTTAGCGAGCACCTATGAAGGCCGGAACGGTACACGAGGGGGTGGGTGGCCAGCACCACGCCCGACCGCCTTTGTCTCCCTAGTGACGATGTTTACACACCGCACCAGGTACTCATTTGAGGCTGAGTCGACCTAGGGGAGGTCCGGGACCGGTGCAGATAACCGCCACTGCCGTTGGCCGTGAGCGGGAATCGAACCCCGGCTCACCGGTGTTGTGCCTTTATCGCGGACGCGCGAACCGCTACGCCACCACTCACCCGCTCGCGAACGACTCAACGCGCACGCGTTGCTGGCAAGACGGTCGCGCGCAACATCCCTTTGCCGCGCTGACCCAACGCGTCATTTGTTCGCGTGCGTGCGTGCGTACGTGCGTGCGTGTGACGCCCGCGCTTCTCGATTGTGTTCGCAGGAACGTGGACCCCGTTTAACATGCAGACGGTGCAGCTCATGATGGGTATGACGACGGCACGCGGGTGGGGGGACGATCCCCCTTCCCGTTCCACCCGTGGGGGCCGAGCGCGGCGGCGAGAGAAAAACACGCGGTGGTGTTACCGGATGGAAAATATCTCTGCTCCCCACGCAACTCTTGTGCCCGATTAGTGTGCAGCTAGGATGCTGCCATTGATATAAATTAACGTATTGGCGGTACACCGCTGGTGCGCACTATATCAGTTCTAAAAAAGCAGCTAATTTTTTTCGCAATTATTTTCCCCGCGATTCGCAGCCCCAGTCAGAAACTCTTGCACGGTGGTGGTGGTGGTGGTGGTGCGTTAAAATCGGTTCTCGTGATGACGAAACGTTACCAGCGGCTGAACACAAAGCTTCACAGTCGTCTGGCATATAGCAGCAATCACCCAGGCCTGACAACGATTGGCTGGCTCCGTGTACCAAAGGCGAGGTTTTGCTCGTCGTGCCCTAGACTTGGGTCGGGACGGGTTCCCCCATTCGATTCCGGAAATAATTTCTTGGCGGACGGTGGCATCAACAGATTACGAACTCGTGGTGGTGTAAACCACTGCGCGTTCGAAATGGAAAGCGGTTGCTGAATCTCTTAAGTGCAAGTTCTGCATCTCACTCATGGGGCAACAGCGACGTCATCAGACTGTTTTACGATGACCAGTGTGCTATGCTGCAGCGGTGTGTTATGCTGCACCGGTGTACCGCCAGTACATCCAATTATCGATTGTGGGCCATTGTGAATTGATGGCCTGCGTGGCCTGGGGAATTAAGTCACAGATCGTAAGGGGTTTGGGGCCTGGGCTGGGGAAATTCTCTTTGGGTTTCCCGTGCCTCCGATTGGCACGGTTGGCTATCTGCGAAAGAATTCCAACGTACGTGCGAACATTCAGGGCTACGATCTTTGTAAGGTGGCAAAATGGCATGAGAGAAGTTTGGATCGTAAGTTGAAGTCAAATATGGGCGGACCGAACGAGATCGCTGTCAACCCTTTATCAGTGCCTACCTTATTAGACCTCCTTTGCCAGTACCAAAATGTAATAATGGGGTTTTTCCCCTTTTTTCTGGCAACAAAACTGAAACCTTTTTACAAGGATTAATGCAGACATGAATTCTTGTAAAAAGGTTTCAGTTTTGTTGCCAAAAAAAGGGAAAAACCCTATTAATGAGGGCTCACCCCGAGCCCTCATTACTTTGATAGTGCATTGTCTTTGAGCTGTACGCCTTTTGGCATCATCTCGTCGAGCACCAATTGGGTCGAGGCTCAAAAAAAGCCGTCCCTTGGTGTGGACCAATCAGTTTCAAGGACAATGCATATATTATCAAAGTATGTTTTTTGTTTGCATTTTGACTGCAGGTATTGTGGTTAATGCAGACATGAATCCTTGTAAAAAGGTTTCAGTTTTCTTGCCAGAAAAAAGGGGGAAAACCATATTATTATTCGATGTTAGTCTTGTTGATGACGTGGACGATATTACGTCATTGATTTTGTTTAATTCGTTACATTGCGTTATTAAGCGGACGATAGACCTGTGAGTCTTCCTGACAATTCACGAATTATTTATCAGAACTTTACCAACACGTCATCGTGACTTTCTTGCGTGCTCAGCGTTAAGAGACCTCTTAACATAAACTCAGCTTATGACATTACCGCGCCGTAACGATCCGTGCCTGTTGTTGAGTTGGTCCACATCTGGTGGTGACGGTCTTCACGCCAAAATTCTTGTCGTGAACCCTCCACCACCTGACAGGATTGTCACGTCGACAAACATTATTCAATCGTGGCAATTTGCGGTGGCTTAAGAGTTGTTGACTACCTCGTCTGGTATGCAGGAGGTCGTCAGTTCGATCCCAACCCTGATGCCTGCTGCGTATTTGGAGTGTGCGTGTCTCTCTCCCCGTGGTCGTGTCGATTTTTCTCCGGGTACTCCGGATTTTCCCTCCACATTTAGAAACATGCGTTTAGAGTATTCAGCTACTTTACATTTCCACGCGATATGCCGCTTCGTTGAGCTATCATGTGTGGTAGCCAGGGGGTCGCTTCTGAATAAGAGCTACACGTCGCTCAGTGCGGCCTTACCTGGTAAAATAAAAAAAAAGTTTGAGTTTAGTTAATCAATTCTGACCAATAAGGCCGCTCAACACCGGTGAGCCAAACTTTTCACAACAGAATTCAACATCGATGACCCGACAATTTTCGCTCCCGACGTCTTTTGGGCGCTCTCGGGGGGGGAATCGAGCGCGCCGCTTCGCTCCTTTCTCGTTCTCTCTCCGCACGCAACCCACGCCGGGCGTTGCCGTGCGCGCCGCCCCCGCGTTCGCCGCTCTGGCCGTCTCGGCGCGCAGGAATGTTCGACCGCGAACGCAAGGGCACCATCGGCTTCGCCGAGTTTGCCGGACTCTGGAAGTACGTGACGGACTGGCAGGGCGTCTTCCGCTCCTTCGACCGCGACAACTCGGGCTTCATCGACAAGCAGGAGCTCAAGGGGGCCCTCTCCAGCTTCGGTGAGGTCGTCGTCGTCGTTAGGAGCACGTGGGCGCCGGAGGGGGGGGGGGGGGGGGGGGAGCGGGAGGGGGAGCATAGAGGTGGAGTGTAACGATTGCTTTTTGCTGCACCGCTAGCAGCCTATAGCACCTGGTGTGCATGCTAGTCACCCATCCGAGCGCGCGCTACGCGGTGGAACGTGGCCCATCGTTTGTAGGGTCCTAGTCGCGGTTGGACCCAAAATTATAATCACGTCACTTTAATTCATTCAGCCGGTGCGTAATCGCCGGAGTCCACAAAATCCACGCGGTCCACACGGTCCACGCGGTCCCTCGTAGCTCTCCGCTGAACTCGGCGCGTGGACGGTCAGCGGCGACACGCGACATTGTTTGTGCCGTGCCCACTGCTGCAGTTGTCGGTCGTCGGGAAGACCCCCAGCGGTGGAGCTTAGCTCCACAGAGAGGCACTGGCCCCGTGTTTGGAACCTGCCCGGCAAGGCCCACTTAAACGGCGTGGCAGGGTGAAGCCGGGCGGACAGGCTGCCTTGAGGATCCGCGATGAGGAACTGCTTTGGGCGTTGATTTCGCCCCCCGGTTCTTCCCTCCCCGCCAACCGCTCTCCGCCGTGCAGTCGTAGCCGCGGCTGCCTTGGTGCCGCGGCCTGGTGCCGTGAGCGACGGAGGACGTGCGGGAATTACGCGGCTCCCAACGACGGTCCACGGCGTTGCCCCGGAGCAATTCCACGGCAATACGGGGCTGTGGGATTGGCGAGGGAGAGGGGGGAGGAGGGAGCTTCACCGTTTGTCCGTTACGCGCGTCCGCAGGGTACCGCTTCTCGGACCAGCTGCTGGACCTTCTCGTCTGGAGGTTCGACCGCCAGGGCCGGCAGCAGGTGGCGTTCGACGACTTCATCCAGTGCTGCATCGCGCTGCAGGCGAGGAGGATGCGGGGCGCGCGTGGGATAAGAGGGAACGTGGGTGGGCACGTGGGCGTGGGCGCCACGCCGGGAATTCCGCTTGCGGAACGCGGCGAGCGACTTGGTGGGAGGTGGGGCGGGGGGGGGGAGAGGAGGGCTTCCGATTCGATCGCGGCAGGAAATATTGCCATTGGACGATTGCCCAAAACGTCACCTGTTTTATAGAAATCTTTACGTAGGTCTGTCCTCTGAAGGCCTACGGCAGGGGCCGGGCAACGGAAATCACAAGAACAGGCACTTTCTGGGGGGGAATTCCGCGGAAAAAAAAAAAACTCAATATTTCAAGAGCCACAGTCGCGTGTAAATTGCGAGACGCGGAGGCGGTCTCTAACGTCACGAAGCAGCGGCCCTTCAAGAGAGAAACCGGACGCCGCTCCGGGGCCGCGGGTTGCCGACCCCTGGCCAAGCGGTGTCGTTGACGAGCGTGCCGAGCTGTTCTGCCGTTTGTGGTTGTGCACCGCTGCCGACGCCGCCGCCGCAGCAGCAGCAGCAGCAGCATCGCCAATTAATTTATTGGTAGATGTGATCGGGAAGGAGGAGGTTGCGCGATGGGTGGGACACGCGTGCGGGACAGAAGAGGGTGGTAGGGTAAGCGACTTTGGAGGCTCTGCGTAGAGGTGGCAGGGGTTGTGTTCGCGATAATGGTTTGACAGTGGTAATAATGGAGATGTTTATGGCGACTGTGGTGGTCACGACGACGACGACGATGATGATGGCCGTTACGTCGGCGATGGCCGTTACGTCGGCGATGGTGGTGGTGGCAGTGATGATGGTCACGCGAATGACCTTGATGCTCAACATTATTTCCCGTTTTCCTCTTCTCCAGACTCTGACCGGGGCATTCCGGATGCATGACACGGATCAAGACGGCTGGATCCGGATTTCCTATGAGCAGTTCCTGAGCATGGTGTTCAGCATGCGGTCCTGATGATCCGCATCCTGAATTTGTGCCACCCGCCCAACTTTACCATGCAGTTGGGATATAGTTAGTAGGCATGTAACGATGCGTCAATTTGTCAATACATTTTTTTACAAAAATCAACAGGCGTGGTCAATCCACTGCCGGATGAAAGGCGCCCAAAAGCCACTGCCGTCTCCCGTAATCCTGCGAAATTACAGTCCACCTATCGCCTGCAATAAATTGCAGATATAATCGCTCCATCTCCTCCGCGTTGGACGCACGCCATAGGCCGCTGCTCCGCCGTTACCCCAGCGACGCGTCCCGTTCAGACGCGGCCGCTCGCCTTAACGGTTCGAATGACACGTTTATAAAACCTGAGTGCGTTCTTTAATTCTTTCATTCCTCTCACCACGCCTGTCTCTCGGCACCTTTCACAAGCGCCCGCCTCTCCCCTGCTTCTTTGGGCCCTCTGTTCGGTTCCAGTCGTTTTGTTTTTCGTTGTTGTTTGGTAATGGCCGCGTTTACGAGCAAATTGCCGATGATGCCGCCTGCTGCTGCTGCATTAGCAATGGGGCACAATTAACAACAACCAATGTCAACGCATCCGTCAATAACAACAGCGCTGTGGCCTTAAGTAAAAACATATACAGGGTGCTTCAAAAAAATGTTAACACTTCCGAGAAATTTCCAACAAGACCACAACAAATGTGATCTCCGGGCTCTGGAGTCCACGTGGAGAAGATCCCAGGCCACGTGTTGACAATGATGGCGAACAAGTGGGAGAGACTCTTTGACTTTTTGAAGCTATTAACATTACATTTGTTATCATGTTGCAGTGTACAGTACTATCCGTTTTTCCATTAAAAACGATTGTCCCATATCAGTGGCAACAATTTTTTTGAAGCACCCTGTATACAACGGGACGTTTCATGGCGCATGAAGAAGGCCCACTGTGTTGTCGTACGTACGTGGAACTTCTTTAGTACCGTGCGTAGCCAACTGGAGGTGCGGGGGCAAGGACGAGAAAAATCGGAGGCTGCGTCGTCGTGATCGACGGATGCGTCGAGTTGTCTGCATACCTGTGTCAACCCCGTATCGGTGCCTACCTTATTACACAACAATTCAGACCTTAGCGGTCACCCCGTGACTCTTATAAATCTCAAAGTTCATCTTACAAAGTCCCATCACAAGGCAGAAACACAAACAAATAGACAGAACAAAAATGTTTGCCCGCGTTGAAACGGCTGTCCTCCGTATGGACCTGAAAACTCACTTTCCCTGTACAAGAATACGGGGTAAACCGTGTGTGTTGACAGGCGTGTGTCTGCGTCCAATGGAGCAATATGTCACGGCGGAGGGAATGCTCGCCGACTGGACAGAACGCAACCTCTTCTTCACGCGAGTCGGCATCTTGACTCTTCAACGGCAAAGTTCCGCTTCCCATTACCGCCCCCTGCGCGCTTCATCATCGTGTTTTTTTTTATCCCCGGCACTCGTACCCCTGGGCGCTCGCTCACTCGCTCGCTCGTACTCGCTCGCTGTCTGTTGTGTCGTCCACTAGAGCTGACCGCTCGGTTACGTGGTGTGGCGAATGCGAATTTGACCAATCGCGATTGGATTGAATGGGAGACGGTTTAATGTGGAGCAAAAAAAAAAGTTATAATAATCGATTTTTTTATTTGCATGTATTATCGGATCGTTTACCCCTCGATCGCCGGTGGGACGGCGGGTGGTCGCATCGTTACATTCTGAATTTCGTTTGCGATACAATGCCAAAAAGATGTAACAGTCGGTTATCAAAAGTAGCACTTCGGAAAGTTATATTTGGGTAACAAACCAAAAAAGTTGCATTTATAATGAGAACCTTGCTTAAACTTTCGTTTTTTGTTTGCTTTTTAACTGACCGTTGATAACATTTATGCTTAAACTAGATTGTGGCCATATCACAGCCTTGTTATCGCACAAAAGCCAATCGCAGCTAATTTTTTTTTAAATAAACGATTACAAGGCTCGTGACAAGACGGGGGAAAGAAAGTGCGCATGCCAACAGGAAGCAAACGCAACACACAGCAGGTTTTTCTCAGCCCTACCCCAATACCGCGATTCACGAATAGATTGCCGGGAGTTGGCTCCGACCTGAACAAATCTGTGCCATTTAACCCCCGCCCCAAGCACCCAGCGTGCACGGCCGAACAAATTTCGATGGGCACGTTGGTGTGGCGAACGATTCGTTCAACGACCCGCCGGCGACTTGCGGACGTTTTCGGTTCGGTTCGCTCGCTCGGCGGGAAAGCCGAAGAGCTAATTCCCACTACCGAGCATCTTTAGGGACATAAATGCAGGAAGTCAATCGGGCTTTCTTAATTTTATTTGGTAAAAATTATTATTATTCGGCTGTGTTGGGGTGGCGGGCTGTTTTAAGACACCAATATGGGCAGATCATCACGTGACCTAACACCCCCGCCAAATAAATGTATATTAATGAATCGGAGATTTCTAGGCAGCAATAGGTGCTCTTGTGATGGTAGAATCGGTCCTCCCATTGTCCCGCACCTCCGATTAGCACGGTTGGCTACGTACGGTGCAAAAGGGAGTTCAACATACACACGTGCCTTGCATGTCACGTGATATAACCGCACTGCGTGTATATTGACAAGGAGCGCCAGCCTTGTTTGGACCACCGTAGCACGTTGGCAACGGGACAATGAAACGACTGCCTTGCCGCTTTCATCCTCGATCAGTAGGGAGTCGCATAAGTGCAGGACAACGTCGCCGCCAATTTCCTGCCGCTGGGTCGTACCTCGCTCGGGGGGGGGGGGGGGGGGGGCGGGGGGTGCTTTGCGTGATCCGTGTCAATTTAATTCTGTATTGTCAAAGGGCCGTGGTCTCGCTTGTCGTGTTTATCACACTGGTCACATGTGCCGCGAGCTGTGAGCCGCGTTGTCATTTGCGTCTCAAACCGAGCGAGTCGTGAGGTTTCAATGCGCTGCAACTACTGCTGCTACGACGGGTAAAGGCCCCGCTGAGCGATGCTGTGGCTCTCTTTCAGAAGCGACCTGGCCGCAAATGTTAGCTCGACGAAGTGGGCTCATCACGTGGCAGCCAGTCACTCAACAAATTGCCGTCGTGACCACATCTCGTCTGCTGCCCATCGTCCCCTCTAGCCGTGACGTGTCCTAGCGCAAGCACGCTTACTTTTCTCAGCGACCAATACGCCGTCTTAAACCTGCGTATGTACCAGGTAAGGTACCCACAGAGCTACGTAGGTTTTTTGTCAGAAGCGCTACCTGGCCACAGATGATAGCCCAGCGAGAAGTGGCTTATCGTCACGTGGACGTTTATAGCAGTCAAATAATCCCAAACGCGTGATGTTGATTCTAAATGCGGAGGGAAAAGACCGGAGGACTCGGGGTGAAATCCAAGCGACCATGGAGAGAGAGACACAAACTCCAAATTTCCAGCAGGCAGCCTAGGGAATAGAACCCACGACCTCCTGCATACCAGGCGAGTGAGATAACATCCCACCACCGTGGCGCCCAGTAAAATGAACGCGTACACCCGGTAAACTTGAAACGTTCGGTCCAACGGCTTCAACCACGTGCAACAACGCGTTACCCACACCCACCCCCACAACGTGTGTTGGACGTTTACCGGGCAGTCGGTGGCGACGTTTCTATTCGAAGGGTCTGCACAGAGAGAGAGAGAGGAGAGAGAGAGAGATGTGCAAGGCTTGGAGTTTGTTGAAGTGACACGGAAAGAGAAGCACGTGGGACTTGACAGGCGCGGCTTTAAATACTCCGTCGTTCTCTACGCAAGCCATCGATGACCGGCCTGGTGAGACCACCAACACGCCGCACTTGAGAAACTTTTGGCTTGTATGTACGTGCGTACGTTGAACTTCTTTCGCGCCGTACGTAGCCAACCGTGCCAGTCAGAGGCGCAGGGGGGAATGATGACAAGCTGCGCACACAAAAAAAAGCAGTTCTGAATAAATTAATGTAGATGATGTAAAAGTGCACAGCTTCCAGTGGATTCCTGATATCGCAAGGAAGAGCGTTCCAGACGACTCGTCTGTGTGAGTCCGTGGTTCTCTGTGTGAGTCTATAGGTCGCTCTGTGAGTCTGTTCATTTCTCTGTGAGTCTATGGTCGCTCTGAGTTTGTTCATTTCTCTGTGAGTCTATGGGTCGCTCTGTGAGTCTATGGTTCTCTGTGTGAGTCTATGGGTCGCTCTGTGGTTCTCTGTGAGTATCGGGCTCTTTGTGATTGTTCTTCCCTGTTGTGAATCTACGGTTCTCCACGTAAGCCATTGGCGGACCTGGGCTGATAACCACCAACATCTCCACACTTGAGAACCCCCCTTAATCGCGTGCGGCTGGAAATCCATCTTCAAGCCCCTATAATCTCGGCAGCGCTCGCTCCGCGCTCTGACCTCAACACCAGCCCGGCTGCTCTTGGCCAATTCTCAATTAATATCGCCGCTGTCCATGCAATTGCCCGCACCGTCCAATGTTTTCCCCAGCAACATTTTTTTTTGGAAGGTCGAGAGCCCGAGCGGCTTGGGTTGCCCCCCCCCCTCCCCGTGCCCCCCCCCCCCCCTCTCGGCTCGTCACGGTCGGCTACGTACGGTGGTGGTTGGTGTCGATCACCGCACCGCCCTGTGTAGAATGTCGACTTGCCACGTGGCTCGGGGTGTCTCCGCGTGGTTTGAAAGGTAACCCTGCCAAGTTTGGTGGCGATAGCTTTCACTGTGGATTTGTATTGGGAACAGGCAGATTTGAGTTATGTATACAGGGTGCTTCAAAAACATGTTAACACTTACATGGGACTATCTGTTTTAATGGAAAAATAATGGATAGTAACACACTGTAGCATGACAACAAATGGACGTTAATAGCTTCAAAAAGTCAAAGAGCCTCCACTTGTTCGCCATCGTTGTCAGCGCGTGCCTGGGAATCTCCCGCAGGTGATCTCCAGAGCCTGGAGGCGCATTCCTTGTAGTCTCGTTGCAAATTTCTCGGAAGTGTTAAAAACATTTTTTTTAAGCCCCTTTGTAAAGTAATGATAGTATAAACATACGCATTACATGTGTGGCTCAATTATTCCACCGTGACGGAATATCATCGTGTTGCACAGACCCCTCGAGGCAGCCTTTTTGTATTTGTGTTGTGCCCGAATGGAGTTAGGACTGCGTCATTGCTACACGATGTATTAGATAAATATTACTTTGCGCCATCTACATTGGATTTGATTGATTTAAACATCTTCATTGTAACATTTAGCATGTGCCTGATAATGACACAGATGATGCGAGTAATGATAGCTGTGATGGTGGAAATGACTGCTGATCGTGCTGCTGATGATGATAACGAGAGTTGTAATGGTGGTGAATGACTGCTGGTGGTGATGTTAACGATGAATTTTAACGGCAATGACGTGGTGGTCGTGACTGATGCTCATGATACAGGTGATGGATTATTCTGTTGAAACAACTGAAGATTGTGCTGCTGATGATGCCAGTGCAGCCACTGTTGGACCTTAAATCACTGGTTCACATGGTGCTGCTGATTGTGATCATACTCATGGCTGTTGCATTACAGATCGATAGTGACACCAGCGGCATGATGATGGAAATAAAAATGCAACGCGACTCCACCCAGTCATTGTTGGTTTGCATGAAGACCAGGACACAAAGTGACGTTCAACATGAAACCCTTTAATCGCACAATACTGTCACTTTACAAAGGTCGAGAGGTCGTCACGGCCAGTGCCGTTGAGGCCACGGCGCAGCGCCATCGCTTCTTTCCTTCTGCCTGAGCCTGCAGCTTTTGCACAGTCGATACCCCACCTCTTGGGACCTATTTAACACTCTGATCATCATCACCACCACTGCTGTCCTGCACACCACGTGTCCCACCCATCACCAACTCTTCCTATTCACAACCTCCAAGTGGCTTCACCCCATCCCCCTCCACCCTGCACACCACGTGTCCCACCCATCACCACCTCCCCTTCCTATTCACAACCTCCAAGTTGCTTCACGCCATCCCCCTCCATCCTGCACACCACCTGTTCCACCGATATCGATCATTGAACTTCAATTTTAAAACACTTTTTTCTGTACAGTGTATATATGTGTATGCATACTTGCGTATCCAGTATATTTAGGCCACAATACAATATATTTTTTGCAAATAAATATAAATATTCCATTACGCCTGCCTGCAGCTTGGCATGGGTTCATAGCAAAGGGGGGATTTGCCGGTCAGCAGCTCCTCTTACCCGCAATACAAAAAAATGTGCGGATAATTGGACACCGTTCCGCAAATACCCCCTGGGATAAATCAGCGGATGATTGGAAGATCTTGTTCGCGGGTAAATAGCTTTTTTTGTTGGGGAACCCTACTGCTCTTGCGGATAATAGGATTCGCGGATAAGAGGAGGTCTGGATATGATGCAGCGGTACATTGCAACGCCCATTCAAGTCAAGTTGCCTCCATCTCTGTCTCAGCTCAGCGGATATCGTGCTGACCTCTTCTGCTGTTGTCCGTATCCTCAGCGTCGTCGTCGTCAGCAGCAGCAGCAACATCATCAGTGGCATTAAACCATAGCCTGGCGCCTGGGCTCGTCCAGGGATGCAGTTATACGCCCGTAGACTCGATTGCTGCACAGCTGATCATCAGCAGCATCGCGAAGCAATTAGCAGTAGCTCCGATCAGCATCGTCTTCATTTCCATTACATCCGTTAACCGTCATAATTCATCATCACTATCAGCAGCAGTTGCGTTGCCAGCAGTTTTACATCACCGGCAGCAGCATTGCAGAGCCGTAATCATTATTATTACCACCACCATCAAAACCGTCATCAGCACTATCATCATCAGCAGAAGCAGTAATGGCATCATAATAATCACAGCAGTAGCACTAGCAGCAGCATCGGCAGGAGGCATTGTCACAATCGACATCATCAGCAATGGTGGTGGCATTATAGTCAGCAACAGTGGCAGTCCAATCAGCATCACCAAATAATGTGTCTATAATTATGTACGTATGGGTGTGGGGAACGGTAGCGTAGCGCTCTTTCTTTTTTTCGGTAAAGTCACGTAGGTAAAATAAAAATAAAATAATATTATAATAAAACAACTAAATCAAATCACGACGTTTCGGAGGCAACACAAGCTTCCGTCTTCAGGTGGAACAGTCACAGCAAGATAGCTGCATCAAGTGATGCATTCAAGTGATGCATCGAGTGATGCAGTCAAGTGATGCAGCTATCTTGCTGTGACTGTTCCACCTGAAGACGGAAGCTTGTGTTGCCTCCGAAACGTCGTTATTTAATTTAGTTGTTTTATTATAACATTATTTTATTTTACCTACGTGACTTTACCGAAAAAACCAAAGAGTATGAATCCTTGCAGTCACGAAAGCCTAAAATCTAGGT